CTCAAGAGCATCCGGCACTCTATCATGCCATCGCCGCTATGACTTGTTTCCATGGATACAACAGATTACCGCAAGTCCGGGCCGAAGGAGTACGACATTTTCACAAAAGTCTCAGACGTCTCAAAGACGACAGCCTCAGCAGAATGCCACTGGAGGTAGTGTTGATTGTAACACTTGCTTTGGGTTTAGCACGAAGTTGGTACCATCCCAGAGCGTCGAACGGCGTTAAACATATTCAAGAAGCGAAGACTCTTCTTCGAGACGCGGTATCCCGGAATGTAACATCACAACCAGGGGAAAGCAATCATCGTTTAGGATTCATTGCGAATACTTGGATCTACATGGACGTTATCACACGCGTAACTTGTCAAAAAGTTGAGGCTGTGGACTTTAACCTTATGCTTGCCTGCAGCCAATTAAGTCGCAACGTTGCTTCCAGGTTTCAGATTGACCCTCTCATGGGTTGCGCTGGAACATTGTTCCCTTTAATTGGCCGTGTAGCCGATCTCGTCAAATGCGTTCGCAAGGCTAAAGGAAGACATAATTCTCCCACAATCGTTTCACGTGCTGTTGAACTTAAGACAGCCATTGAGCGTTGGTCCCCTTCCACCACTACAGAGACTAAACCAGACGCTGGATCCCTTACGTCAAGTATCACGGATCTGGTGCAGACAGCGAACTCATACAAATGGGCCGCTCTGCTTCTTCTATACCAAGCGGTCCCCGAGATTCCCAGTTACTTGTCATTCTCTAGCATCGCGCAAAAGGTCCTCATATTCATCGCCACCGTTCCCCTAGACTCTCGTGCGGTCATCTTTCACATTCTCCCACTCATGATAGCCGGTTGTGAGGCTGCTACCACGGAGGATAGAGGATGGGTTCGTGCCAGGTGGGAGTCCTTGTCATCCACAGGCAATAGTTCTGGAATAGTGGAACGGTGTATAGAGTTAACGTCGGAGGTTTGGAGGAGGCGTGACATTCACGATTTACACTGTGGATTGTGCCAGGTCGCCAGCCCTTTAAGGGGGAAAATCAATCAACTCTTCAATCGAGGCACAGGAATTTTAAACCGAGATGTTACTGGCCATGAGGAAATATTTGAGCGAGGAGATCGTCGCATTGAGGGATACCCTGCGTATACGACTATTGAGCCCAAAAGGCTGCTCGAGGGCTCAACCAACTTTACATTCGAAAGTGATCTTACTCCAAGTGCCGAATGCAGCGAACATACTGTTAGAAGCAAGCTACATTGGCTCACTGTCATGGAGGAATGGGGATGGGAAGGTAAGTCAATTAATGTACGCTGCTCCTCCGCCAAAGGGATAAGTAGTCGTCATACATTATCACCAACTTCCAAACAAAGTTCTAAAACTCTGGCGGAGTCGTAGCATTGCACCTCTTGATGGAGACTAATTCGTGGTAGTGATGCTTGGCTGATTTGCCTTCGAATCTCACACCTCTGGCACTTTACCCCATTTTTCAAAATATACCAGAAAGAGTGTTGTCGCTATTTGGCACTAGCATATCGTCGTATACACTTATATACGACTCATGAGTGATTTCTATAAGAATCCACTATGTCGTAGATAGAATAGCCCCGTATTTAAACCTACAAGCTGTCATTGCTACAATGGATAGATGGGAATGAGTCAAGTAGAATGCAGTCAGGCAAGTACATGACTTCTAAAGATACAAATAAATAAGACACACGTCACCATTGTCATCATTTCTATGTTGTATTAGGGCTGGACAGTTCATACACAAGCATTCGTGAAATTTCATTGTTGGAAACATGACTCAACCCGTAGATTGGGTTCCAGGTTATCTAAGGGGAATATAAAACCGACGACAAGTCTCGAGGAGCCTTGAGCTCTATGGTAGATACAGGTGAGCGTCCACGACATTTTAAGAACAAGAAATCAGAACAATGTTACCCCCTACAACATTATGGTAAAACAGTGTCCACATTGCGAGCATACGCTTGCTGATTACGAGTATCCCTCGTCTTGTGCTCACAACTTCGCTGACTCGAAGGCGGGAACAACCAAGTCTGGCGGCAATGATGGCAATGTGATTATTCAGCAAGAACAGCCCGAGGCTGGTGTCTCTGCAGGAGGTGCTAGAAAGAAGGAGGGATCGGGCTCATCAAAGAATACCAGTAACCGATAAGTCAGGAGTCTCGAGTTTGTTAACTAATCATGGCTCTTCTATGAAATGACATGTACTCGGCTGGTGGGCATGACAACGGCTCAGCCCGGAAGACATGGAACTAATGAGGGAAAAGGTAGTCTAGTGAGTTGAAACACATCTTCTTAGCCAGATTTGTATTGGGCACCGTATCAAATTGTCTCTCGGATGATAAAATGTGTTCGGCATACTTGTCACAGAAATGACAGCCGCGGCACAGTCAGAGACCGGGTACTCAAGGTTGTCATTGACCTAAAAACCATGACAGCTTTCAACCGCAATATTAGTGTAGTTAGGTAGTTTGAGTCTTTGACACTGCTTCGTGCGTGTATCAAAGATATCTGATATCAATTCGAGACTTGTGGTGAACTATCGCTCACAACAATGCAAACCTCAGACGTGTGCTATTAAGCTACAGCCTGGTTGAAAGATATAAATTGCCTCAATTTCCTACTGTAGACACGCATAGAGATATCTCCTCACTGCTGATGGATCTTCATCTCGCTGAAAACTCTGAACCCACACTTGTCTAGTAACGAGTCCCAACGCATAATGGTGTGGCAATGCGAAGATTGCCACCGCTACCTCGCCGACTGGGAGAGATGCTTTTGTGAAGGTGAGGGGACGACTGTCCAGGTCGTGATGCCTGATGGCTCTATCCAGCCACGTCGAGGGAACGGTATGCAACTGCCTGGAGGAATTGGCCTGACGCTGTACACTGTTGCAGGCGGTTCAGCGACTGAACATCCACCACATGTTGGTTGGTGGCCACATGGATCTTCATTGCCTCAGCCAAAAGGAAAACCACCCCCGGAGGCAATCCGCCGATTTAGAGGCCAAACTGGCGGCCAGTCAGAGAATCTAGCAGCTAGTATTCCGGGCGTGAACGATGCAGATCCTAATGACGCGGGCGGTGACAACACAGGACTTGGTGCAAATCAGGCTCCAGGAAACACCGGTAGCTACGGTGCCGGACAAAATATCACGGGTAGCCAAGGTGGACATTCTCAGGCCCAACCCGGAGACAATCCTTCAGCCTACGACCCTGGTTACTATATTGGGGTCTTCTCAGGTGGGTGGCCAGGCCAGCCTGAACATCCCTACCCTGCTGGTCATGCTGGGGCCAATACTGGACATGGTGTCGGTGACAACTCGGGCGGATATTCACAGAATCAACCTGGAGGATCACACGCTGATTGGTATCACGGAGTCGATATTGGAGACAACGCTGGAGCCGGCGTGGGAGCGACTCCTCAAATCTTTGTTGAATCGCCCTCCCCTATTGGCACGAATTTACCCTATGAAGCGCAGGATGACCACCAGGGCGGTCACTCTTAAGTGCGAGTAAGGCTCTATTACCCATTTCTGCGATCAAGTTCGTGCTGTCCGTGCTTGATCTTTGCGATTGTCAAAGTTTGGTTACTTGCTCGTGTCTGTCATGGAGAAAAAAGAGCGAAAGACCAAAAGAAATGTGAATTCGTGATAGTTAGTTTGCAATGTATCTTCTTAATCTGTCTCGTTCCTAAAACCTGAATGCAATTTCGCTGAGAACAGATTGCCTTACCACGGGTGCAAAAGGCGCCATGTGAAAAGGCAATTACTGTTCCTTGGCCTAACACCAGCTTTCAGAATCGACGTTGGAGTTTTTCTGACCCTAAGTCTATAGTGTATACCAGATTGAGCTATTGATGATGCTATAAACTAGTCAGAAGCCTTTACCATGTGAATCAAGAGCGTTCAATATGAGAATACTGCAGCTTACTTCCCAAATGGGCTTGGGATTGACAAGCTACAATCTGATGTATTGTCTCACTTAGCTGTTCTTGCGTTGTCAATGGGTATGATGGATGACCGCATAGTCACTAGAGACCTACGCCGCAAACACTGATTCAGAATGACTTACATCAACCGAAGTCTGCAGGAGACTTATCGAGGGCTTCTAGAGGTTATAAATAGCTTCACCCTTCCTGGGCCTTCCATAGTAGATGAGCGTTTTGCTGCGCAGAAGTAACAGTATACCTACATCTCCCGAGATACATCCCAAAAGGCAACAGAATGTCTCGAATTTGTGAAGGCTGTGGTCGTGCTCTTGCAGAGTTTGAAGACACTTGCCCTCACATCATCGAGAAGGGCAAGCAGCCGAGCAATGAGTCTCTGCCGCCAACTCCAGCTCCAGCTATAGCTCAACCTAACGCATTTGATCGGCTCTTTTACATAACCAACCCTTATGGTCTTGCTGGTTGCGGAAAGGACACCGGAAATTACTTCAAGCCATGTGTCAGTGCCCCTGTTGGAGACAAAGCTGGGGAGAAGAGCAAGGCCAACACGGGAGACAATGCTGGAGGCTCTGCTCAGGGCAGCTCCAAAGATGCTAAATAGAACTCCTCTGTAGATACTGGCGCCGGGACTTCCCAAGCGTCTTTAAGCGAATTCCAAGGCGAGAAAGCGGGCCTAATTCCTGTCTCGGAGCATTACAGAGCCACTGAGTGGACTGTTGTGAGAATGCGTTCTGACAATAGGAACTGACCCCAAGAGGAGACTTAGATATATTATGAAGAAAACAGAAGAATAAGAGATTTCAAGTGCGTTTATGGTAAAATCAGTCTTCTTTTGGTGGTATGGGGCTCCGTGTAAGTGTTACCGTATTATGCCAAGCCCTCAAAGCAACCTTGAAGGGGAGCAAGGATAGGTTCTTATCGATAAGCGATAGTCTGCCGAGCGACCAAAAATCTCGGGTCCAAGTTCGCGACCAATTTGTGCTCAAGTAAGAGAAGGATCAAGCACAAAATACAGCACAGCGACAAGATGCGGTGATGATGCGAGCTAGACTTATGGTCAACATACTGGCCATGCCTTCCTCACTGCGGCCTCTCCTCATCGAGGCCCTCTTCTATTCCAATGTTGGCCAGCACCGCTGGATCTCAACGGCTGCTCCACGAGTAGACCCTACGTCCAGTCCGCCATCTGCGCCGAGAGCTCTCGCTTTCACTCCCTCGGCCGCTCATGTTGGGCCTTCAGTTGCGATATCTATACCGAAGCCTTCCTCATCCGACCTCCGATCATGTAATAACCTCTTCACCAACCCTCCGCCACGCTTCCTCTACTCCGCCCCGCGATTCCTCAACGTGCCGGTCAACACGCGCATACCCGAAGTCTGCATCCTAGGGCGCTCAAATGTCGGCAAGTCAACATTGATCAATGCCCTCACAGGTGTTGATGCCAGCCGAGCGGGCCGTAGCCACGGCGCTGGCTCCAAGCGAGCAGGCCTGGCCATCACCAGCGCCAAGGCGGGGTGTACCAAGATGATGAATGCGTATGGCTTCGGCCCGCCGATGAGGGTCCTCCCAATCCCGAAGGTTCAAGGGGAAGAGGGCATCGAGTCTAGGAGCCTAAGCAGGAAAGAGCGGAGGGAGGCTAAGGACAAGAGGGAGAAGCCGCCGGCACACAGCCTCATCCTCATGGACATGCCGGGCTACGGGCTGAACTCGCGGACAGAATGGGGCGCCGAGATCCAGAAGTACCTCGCGCGGAGGGCGATGCTGCGGGGCGCGGTGGTGCTGATTGATGCGGTCGCTGGAGTGAAGGATGGGGATCGCATGGTGCTGGGTCTGCTGCGGGACGCAAATGTAAGAACAACGATTGTGCTCACCAAGGCGGATAAGGTCATTTTCGCGTCTGGCAAGGACCAGAACAGCCATGCCGAACTGGAACGAAGATGCCGCCATGTATGGGAGGAGCTGCGGGAGATAGAGAAGGATAGCCTGTCGTGGTCTGAGGGCAAGGGCTGGAACAGGCAGATTTGGGTTACCGGCGCAGGTGACCCAAAGTATGGCGGCATGGGTGTGGACGGCGCCCGACTGGCAATCTGCCAAATGGTCGGTCTGGCCGAGAACCCGGATTTTGAGGTCGAAGCCGTCCGCTCGCTTGCGCCGAGCAGCAGCGGCCGGATCATCCCCTTTGATCAGATCGGACGGCCAGCTCAAGGAGTGGCTACCACATCCCATCAAACAACTAGTAAAGGGCGGGTGCTCCCTGCGACGTCACCGATGAGAGGAAGGTCCCGAGCCTGGAAAAGAGGCCCGGTCGATGCTCTAGACATGGCTGCACAACAGCACAGGCAGCCAAGGTTATCTACACGTGCAAGTTTCTAGACCATTAAGGGTTGTCTTGTGATATATACTGTATCATTATGTATATAATATTGGCGTCATGGTCGACGATTCTGGACAGACCGTCACCCCTTTTGATACCCATACAAGTATAGAACATCTCCAAGTATCGTCGACCTTTTTCTATCTATTCATTTATGATCCTCTATGCCTTCTTTTTTTGTTTCGTCTTCGGCCACCTGCTAGGGGTATCGACTCGTTGAATTGAAAACCAGGTTGGAAGACATCGAGAAGGTTATCCCACAGCCCCAGATCATAGAGATTCTCTACGTCTCGCAAACCCCAGACGGGAATCCACTCGCCTTCCCCTGGTAGACGAGCATCGTCCGCGGGAGGTGGCCGACCGTCCTCGGTCCGCACGAGGATCTGCTCGGTCTCGACTGGCCATCGGGTCCAAGCCGGCTCAAAGCGCAGGTTTTTTGCCCGATTTGGGGGCATCCGTCGCTTGAATGCAAACCCATCTTCCATCTCTGCCTTCCAGTCCGACCACTTCAGGGACTCGTTCGTCGTGGTCCCGCAGTATATCAGATACACGGTATAGGCCAGCAGCCCCCAGACCAGTGGTGAAGTCAACAAGGCCAACATAGTAACAGACCCCATGGACACTGTGTCTTGGAGGCCCCATGACCATACTATGAGCCATGCTTTGAGATCCATTTCGGCGGATGGCAGCCACAGGGACCAACTTGGGTACTCAGCTCTCATTTTCGCACTCAATATCGATAGGCCTAAACAACCTCCATAAATAGTGAGGACACCAGTGCTCAGTAGGAGCAGGACAAACCAGTGCTGGTTGCCAACTCCTACGCAGTTGTTGATGAAGATACAATGATGGTCTGCCCTGCCGATACATCGTTTACATACACTGCAATGCTTGGAGCGTGCGGGTTTTAGGAGTCTGCATGTCCGACACGAAGCACCGGGATGAAATAGAGAGAAGTCGTACGGGTACTGTGCCATATGATAGGAGTGGTTCTCTGGGGTGATGATGCCCGGGTCGCTGTAAGCAGCGAGGTAAAGGAAGGCGTAGGGCAGCACGATGGCGACTGATCCCAGCACCTTATTGATCATGCCCATTCGGGGCCAGGCGTATGGAAGATACATAAACTCACCCACGGAAAGTAGGAGGAGGAAGAAGATCATCACCGTGGGGTGTTTGTCATACATCATGTACGTTCCGAAGCGGCCGCACGATGCCGTGAGTCGACCTGCAGTGAGTTTCTGATCCAGGGCCAGGACACCGTTGGGTATGTAGACCCATATTAGACGGTGCAAGAATGCGATCGGTGTATGTCTGTGAAAAGTGTCAGCCTCATCCATTTGCACCAGCCGTACAAGAGACAGAGCCGGGTTGATGCATACCTTAGCGCAGGCAACCGGCCGAAGAAGGCGACAAAGGTCATAAAGGAAATGAAGAGCACAACAAGTGCGATTGTTGTAAGAGATGCCATTGTCTTGGATGTTGGGTTGCGAGACCCATCATCTAAGCGTTTCGACAAGCTTCAGTATTGTCCTGAAAGTCTGAGCCAACTGGTGCTGACCGAGAGAAGATGTGAAGAATAGCTGAGTCCCAGTATGTGCAGAAGCGCCGGGGTTCAGAATTTAGAGAAGCCAAACTACTGGCAGTCTGCAAAGCTGGGAGCGCTGCTTCTGAGGGTGATAATCTAGTGGATTCCCGTATATTTGCTGCGAGCGGCGTCCCGATACTGTTTTGTCGCCTGCCTGGGATGCTGTACGAGGAGCAAAACAGCCAGGCTTACGCGTCTCTCAAGCGGTCAGATGAAAGGAAAGATGTCTGACTAATCTGGCTTGCTGCAAGACATTGAGACCAGCTTGCTCAAAGGGATTGTCAAGCTGAAGTGTCTTGAGGGCCGTCGCAAGTCAAATCGGGGCCTCAGGTGAGGCGGATGGATGCTGAAGCGACAGCTGAGATATGCACCTGCCTCGCCTTACCCAACGTTAACGTTACCGTTACCGCGTGTCTCATTCACCTTAACGAAGGCAAGTACATGTGTATGCAATTACCCGATAGCAGGTTATCGGCTGTCAGCCGGTAAGCGGCGCCACGAGACCCCGATATGCAGCTAAGCCACATCTGTGCCCGCCGCGTGAGTTCGCGATGACTGCCCCAAAGTCACGCGTCCTTCATCACGCAGGAAGCTTTCGGGGCGTGACATTTGTCGTCTCTGTCAGCATAAATATTCCCACGGATGGAATCGGTACTTAAGCACGGGAGACTTAGGATTTTCGTCGATGCTGGGGCGCCGAATGTTTGCGTCTGTCTTGCAAGGAGAATGTTCATTGTTGTACGACCCGCGTTTTAACCTACTACCTAAACCAACAGCCGCGGCGGCGACATTTGTCTAGACATTTCAGCTAGGTACACTGTGCAATTCCTATCGATTCTGGAATCGTTCCGAAAGCCACCCCAAGGCATACTCGTCTTCGTGTCTTGAGCAAGTTGCTTGACGCCAATACTGAGGAAGCACATCGAGGAAAAGGCAAACAGCTCGCAGGACTTGCTGCATCTCATCCCAGCTAAAGCGTTTTGGACCAGCCTTGCATCCCGCGATTTTGGTACCTGTCACGGTTGTGGGGCTTCCACTGCGAACGGCTGGACAGCTAGGACCGAATTCGTGCCAGTCCAATCCGAGGGTTAGGGTTGTGACACTTTGACCGAATGGCTGCACCTATCGTCTATGATGGAGTCGCAGGTCAAGGTGGGAGAAGCGGCTCGTTGTTCCAAGGCCTCAAATTCTGGGTCGCTTTTCGAGTGCCTATGCGAAATGCAGTGGTACGGAAGATTGAGGTAAGTTCCCTGCCGAATATGGGACTTTCCTGAATACTGAAGATGACTAGACAAACGGAGGCCAGATAGTTCCCCTCGAAAAGCGAGCCGACATCCTCATCGCGGATCACGCAAGGAAGGATGCTCCACCGGGGGCGTACTCGTGGAAACTGATCGATGATGCCGTTAAGAACGGCAACATGGGAGATAAGGAGGACTATCTCATCAACCGGGTCGTAGTTTCTTCTCGACCGGCAGGCTCTTCGGAACCAGGGAAAGCAACGCGTACTCCTTTTACTGCAGCCGATGATGAAATCTTGTGGAGGTGGACTTCGAAGCATGAGAGGCAAGGGAACTCCTTGAAAGGCAACGCTATCTGGCCGGACCTGGCAAGAATGGTACTGGAATTCAAGCTCCTCTTTTTAGTACAAACTGCCGACTAACATAGAGAAGTATCCGCACCACACTTGGCAGTCTTGGAGAGATCGATGGATGAAAAAGCTATCCGTGATGGAACGTCCGCAGCACTTACTATCTCCCGAGGAGGACCTCCCGGGCCCAGCGCCGCCCGAGCAAACGGTTTCCATACCGGCTTCCACACCGACGCCGGCGACAGCAGCGCAAGCGTCTCCCGCGAAGAGCTCTGGTGGAGGCGGTGGAAGGGGTTTGAAATTTACAGAAGAGGATGACAAGATTATCTTAGCTGCCATAGCAGAGGCCGCCCAGCATGGACGACCTCTCCGCGGCAACGTCATCTATAAGGAGTTGGCTGACATAGTATGTTGATTAATGATTTTCCTGTCTATGAGGAAAGCACTGACACTGACTAGTACCCGCATCACTCGTATCACTCTTGGAGGGACCGGGCCCTTCGGCTTCTGGCCAAAAGGGATGCTCAGACTATTGAAGAAGATCAGCCTGACGGTTCGACGCCAGGTCCATCTTATTCAACTCCCACAAGGAGTCGAGTTTCGGATAATGTAAAGGAAACCCCACCATTACGGAAGCCTGCCCCTGACTCAAATGCTGCTCCTACGAACACCAAGGTCAAGGAGTTCCCAGTGAAAGACGACAGCTTATCCGACGATAATACTTTGGCAGCTATCGTTCAGCGGGCCTTCGAGGATAAGATGATCTCTCTGCAAGCCAATATCAGGGGGTTTTTGGTACGAAATGTCCTATTCACGGAACCCATCGAATCAAGCGCCAGTGACAAATCAGAAGACTCAGTGAACTTCCCCCGAGTCCCGGTCATGAGCAAGGAGCAGTTCCGTCGAGACATACAAGAATATCTCGATGTGACCAAAAGGACAATGAATTTTTGGCCTGATATAGGGGGGCGAGCCATTCCCCTCTGGGACTTGTTTCGGACTGTAACTGAGCAAGAAACCGATCCTCAGAACCGAGATTGGGAGAAAGTAGCTGAAAACCTTGGTATTGATTGGATTGCACATGCAAACGCGCCAGTTGAGCTGAAGCAATTTTTTGAAGAAAACCTGGGAGATTTTGAGCGGCTGTTGTTGCAATTTGAGGACGAGGATGATGAAGATGACGTTGAGGACTTCGAGGGAGAATCCAATGGTTCAGGACGAAACGCCCTCCCACATCAAGACGATAAGCAAACCTCTCGCTGGACGGCCCCTTCGGAAACACATCTCCCATCATTGCCGCCACACATTGCTGGCCAGAAGCGATCGGCACCATCGTCTTTGATACTGTCTGATCCTGCTTATCCATCTGAGACGTCTAGGAAACGACGGCGAATGGACCCAAGCAGCGAGATTCCTTCGACGCCGGATGATAAGATCGAAGCATCTGGCATGCGCAGACTTGCTGAAAGCGGATCCTCCAAGCTAAAGGGGAAAGCTACAGATTCCCCCAGCTCCAAGCATCTGCCATCATTGCCAGAAAGGCGGAAAAGGTTCTTTGAGCCGGAGACGCAAGATTTCGGGTATGATCCCGAGACTCAGGCGTATCCCACAATTGAGAATGAAGACGAGCCCGATATAACACCATCGCAACAACTCCAAAGTGAATCTCCTACCATTGCAGCTATTCCATTATCTCTGCCTAATCCGCAACCTGTACCCTTTAAAAGGAGAACTCAGGCGCGCAGAGAGATCGATTCCTCGGTAGATCGAACAATTCAGGAGGAACTGGGCAGTTCGCCAGCACCCGAATCGATCGCTACTAAACCATCTCCTTCCGCCATGAGAGCCACACGGCGCTCTCTGCCGAACACCTTCAAGCCAGTAACAGAACCAGCATCGCGGCGACAGAATGGTCCCGCACTCAGCGAAGGACCAAGGAACGGGACACAAATCGGCCAGATACCCAACAGCCACAGTCCCGTGCAGCCCGTCGAATCAGCTGCGGCGTCAGGTTCATTTCAGGGGACAGTCGAGCACTTTATGTCGCTCGGCTACCCCGAGAAGCTCGTCCTCACTGCGCTCAAGTCAACGAGCTTGAAGCAGGGCTATCCTACGACTGTTGTCCTAGAGAAGCTGCAGAAAGGCGAGGGCATTCCAGAGTATCACGAGGGCGTGTGGACGGCCAAGGACGATGAGAGCCTTCGGTACATCATCAGTTACGAGAAATTGATGGAGGAGGGCAGCGCTCAGCATGGCGGGGTTGTTGACGACGAGAGGAAGATGCGCAGAAAGGTAGAGCGCGAGAACAAGAGACTGACGGTGAAGCATGGACAAGAGGGGATAGAGCTCCGAAGTAAGTACTTCAAGATGTGGGATGGGGAGTAACGTGAGCTAGTTTGATATCCTTTTGGCTAGAGCAGCTCGTCTGCTGGTTTGGCGTTGCTTCACTGTACTGCAGGATCATGATACCCTTAATTGCTGATGCCTGAGCTGGTCAGGTCTCAAAGTGAGCACAATACCAATATGATTATCTTACACATCTTTCGAGCTTCATTTCTGTAGTAACACATCTGCGAATTGTATAAAGTGCTATACACGCTACATACACAGCCATCATCATAGCCCTGCGCGTCTTCATTCCATATGCAAAGCCCTGTAACGCCGCTTGAGCAAGCAAAACCCGACCGATTACTCGTACTGCAGTAATGTACTACAGAGTGAGTAATAGCAAGGATTGAGAGCGGGCTAGCTACCCTCTCCAGCCAGCCGCGTCTATCTCCCAATGTTCGAGAACGCGCTCTTCACATCTGACCGTGGCCACTCAAAGAGCACATCGCCGCCATAAACGTTAGTCGTGACGTTGGAGATACGTAGCTCCACGTCGCTGTAGAACTTCTCGCACTCCCTAAGCACGCGATTGACAAGGCCTCTGCTCAGGTTCGGGTCGTCTGCGTCGCCAAAGTGCTTCTCGACACGCTTGCGCAGCGCCTCGATGCCCTTGCGCACCTCTCGCGAGTCGTAGGCGCCGAGGACCTTGTTGAAGGTCGACTTGGAGTTGCTGGGCTGGGCTGCGACAGCACCGGGAGTCTTGCCTGACGCTAGCTGGGCCTCGATGTTCTCAAGGTGCTCTAGTAATCGTCCGAGCGGTCTGCGCATGACGGCGTTGAGGTAAAGACCCATGTGCTCGTTGAACTGTGAGGTTGCCGTCTCTCTCCAGTCATCGAGAACCTCGATCTCGCCCACGTTGCCCACTTCTTCTAGGTAGTGGTTCATGTTTTCGATCAGAAGGATGTGGAAGTTGAGAGCTTCCTTGTCCTCCGGGTCAGCGGAGCCCGCGGCAGCAACCGTGACAGCCGGGTTCTCGCGCGCGATGACCATCAATGAATCAAACATGGACTTCAAGATGCGGTCGTACTCGCGGTCGACGGTGCGTCGCACGTTTGAGTTCATCTCCATGCCACCCAGCATGTTTTCAACAGCGGTCAAAAAGAGTGGGAAGACACGCATGAAGGAGATGACACCCTTGCGCTTCTTGATCTTGACCTTCGTCTCTTCGATGGCGCGGATCTGCTCATCGACGAATTTCTTGAACATGATCTCCAAATTTCCATGTAGCTTCTGAAGAACATTGTTCAGATAGTCTTGGTTCGACTGGGCGATGCTTGAAAGCTTCCGTTCTAGCGTAGCAAGGACGCCAATGCCTTGTCTGTAATCAATAGTTAGCGAGTGATATCTGAACTGGATAATGAGGTAGTACGCACAAAGGATCGTCCTTCACAACCCAGGTCATGAAAGTTAACCAATCCGCCTCGACGAACGCGAAGATGAACTCCATGGATCGTGTGACTCTTCGAGCTAGATCCCGGTCGGGCTCCATAAGCCTATGTCTCTTCAGGTCGCCACCGCGTCGATTGCGTGGTCTGACAGCTGCGACAGACTCAGGGAAGTCGGTCTGATCAAGAGTGGTTGCGTGAAAGAAGTCCACGATGAAGTTTTGTTCCATCTCTACCAGAGGAATAAGATCATCTAGAACACCTGCAAACACTTCATACGGCATGCTTCTGCTGTCTGAAGTCTTGTCGACATTCATCCGACTTTCGCTCAGAGGCGAGCGAATGGCCTTTGCCAATGTCTGGCTTCGCTTAACGGTAAGCTTCCTTGCAGTAGTGGCGATGCCTTCTTCCTTCTTCTCTTGCTCAGTAGTGAAGAGAAGCTCCTTCTCCTCGCCAGTTGCCTTCCTAGCATTCCGCTTCCATGACTCCAGAACCTCCCTGAATTCGCTCTTGTATAATGGGTTGCTCTTTTCTTGGTAGATCTGCAAGATCCTGTTCCAGTTCTCTAAATCGGTGTCTCTTGCGTAGAGCATCAGCGGGCCGTACTTCCACAGCAAGTCTCGGCCGGCATCATGATGACGGGAGTCAACCTTCTTCGCGAGGGCGCTGTCCAGAGCTCGCTTGGTTTCCCGGTAGGCATCGTCGAACTGCCTGGCCATAAAATCTACCAAGCGACGTATAAACGTAGAGCTTTCAGACATGTACATCTCCTTTTTCTCCTGGACAATGCGCATCTTTCCAAAGTCACTATTGAAGTCGATAGCCGGGTCGCTAGTGGCATCGGCACTCTTCCTTGTCTCGCCAACGCCCATACTTGGGTCGATCTTCATCATGGCTGTATATAGGGTTACAAGCGCGGCCTCGATTTCTTCGATGCCGGCAACACTGTCCATTGGTGCCGTTCGCAATGCTTGTAGGTCATCAATCGTAATGGCGCACGTATCTAGTAGCGACTCGAGTTCCTTCTTGAGCAGCTTTTGATTTGCAGCCTGTACTTGGAGGCCTTGACCTTGTGCCTCGATATAGGCAATATCATCGGCAAGAGTCTGAGTTTGAGTTAGCAGATGACTCGGGCATAGGGAAAAAAAGGCACTTACAGATAACTCCACGCTATATAAAGTAAGAAGATTGTCTAGCTCTTCGCACTCGGCGATGGTGGTATCGATGCCAGACTTAATAGCATCGACTCTCTCATCTTCTTCTCGGAAGCGAGCCAACCAGCCTCCAGCTTGAGCCTTGTTGACTTCCCGATCGATGTCGATCTTCAAATCATCATAACTGAGAAGTCGCATCTTGTCTCCTGGTACGAAACCGAAGTAGTCGAGGTATTTCGTGAACTCGACACTACGATTGTCCATAATAGTCGGATCGATGCCGAGAGTGGCGAGATACTTCACGTCATTGCCTACCACGACAGATCGACGTGCCTCCTCTTTAACCTCAGGCTCAGCAGGCTTTTCAACGGGCTTCTCGACAGTTTTCTGCACCGCTTTGGCCGCCGCTTGCAGACTTGTTGGTCGACTCGAATTGGGAACAGTGACCTTCACTTCTGGTATCCCTGAAGTTCGTTCCACGGCTTTATCTGGTGGCTCGGTCGTCGGTGCTTCAACTGAGATAGGCCGCGGTGGCGCAGGAACAACAGCCGTAATACCATCCGGTCCATCGACCGACTTGTTCTGTGCTAACCTCAGCTTCTCGGCGGCTCCGCCAGGTCGCGGCTTGAACGCACTGGCGGCAGCTGCTGCCTTCCAGAAAGCGCCAGCAATATCTCCTTTAGACTTCTTAGCCTTGATCATAGGTCCCAGACCCGGGCGCATGTCTTCGGGCTCAGGCGGCGGCTCGCTTGGGGTTTGTGGAGCGGACGGCGAAGCTGTGCTAGCGGTAGTTAATCCGTTCGAAGGTACTTTACCCACTGGCCCACCATCAGCAGCCTCATCCACTGCCTTTGTTGAGACATCCTCGATAGAAGCTGCTTCGGATCTTTGAGACCGCAGGGAGGGTTTTCGGGGAGACATGCGTTCGGTGCTTCGGGGCGGTGGTGCTACAGGTTCGCGACGCATGCCCGGACTGATCAAGGGAGCTGGCACCAAGTTATCATCGGGAAACCCTTGCGGTCGCGCTGGGTCCATTGGAGGGCGCTTCCTCTCTGGAGGTCGCTCCTCTGGCACCGGGAGAGGCTCAGTAACCGTTGACGCGGAAGAAGCACCATTTGGCTGGCCTCGCGATCTTGGGCGTAAGCTGCTTGCATCTTCACTTCTGTATGAGTTCGCGACCGAATCTTGGCTCTTGTTGCTACCTGCCAACCGCCGTAGAGCAGCAGGGTTTTCCCTTGTTCGGCTCGAATCGATGCTAGCGGCAGGGGACGAACTGCCAGTGGGAGGCAGGGGACTTCGCGAAGGTGGTCGGAACTCTGTTTGCGCGGTGGGTGTTGCGCTGTATGAAGACGCGCCACTCAGGACACTGGCACCGCTTTCGCTAGGGAACGAGCCAGGTACAGGTGGGCGACCTGGGGAGAGCGATTGCTGCTGTGGTAGGGGGGAGGGCTGTGGAGGTAGGACTCCTCGTCTTGATGCGCCGCCTAGGACTTGATCTAATTCGCGTTGGTCGAAATTGGATAGGGAGGGGACGCGTCCGCCGGTGTATTTTCCGTAGATCTTGACCAGACTGGCGATGAAGAACTTCTTCTCCTTGTCGGTCTGGGCCTGCCAGTAGTACGGCTTCCCGAGAGTAACGATGAAGCCAACATCTCCGGCCCATTGCCGAAAGTCCGGGGGCACATTCTGGCCGGTGAAGGACTCGATGGCGGTCAAGTCATCGAGATTCCAAGTCTTTCCTATTGAGAACGTGCCGTTAGGGTTCTCTTTGGACTTGTGCATGCGCACCCGGCCGGACTTTCGGACGGCGACAATGATAACTCGGGGCTTCTCCGCTTGTGGTGTTCTCGCCTGGGGAGGAGGGGGGCTGGTCGGATAGCTCGAGAACTCGGTGATTTTGAGGTGGGTGATGTATGTCTCCAAGACTGCGAGGAGTGAAGGAGTATCAGTGAAGAGCTCTGCGAGCTTGTCGCAAGGCATACCGAGTGCTGGGGAAGTCGTGCGGAAGGGTCGGGACACTTACTTGAGCCATCTTCGTCTTTCTTGTTGAAGCAGCTGTCGATGATGCGCCGCTTCTCGTCCTCGAACCTCTCGGCCCGGGTCATCACATCTCGACCACCTGACATGGCCATGGTGACTTGCTCATGAAGGCGGCGCAGCTAGCATCTTGATGTCGCAAGCGGAGGAGTGGGTGGAAGTAGGCGCCGGTGCCGGTCGACGAGTCGAGGTTGGGGATGGCACGGAAGTGGTAGCTCTCGGTAGGTGGTCCTCTGGTCTCTGGTCTCTGCCCCTTGAACCTCGATGGGCTGCAGCTCGAGTCCCACGCACACCGAGAGTCGCTACTCCGGAGCAACAGGCCGTGCTCGATATACTCAAGAGACAGGAGAGAAGGAATTGAGGGGATCGTGAGATGCCGTCCAATGCATGCACTGCGTTTGTGGGCTGCAGATGCAGATAAGGTAATTAGATGGTGGGCGAGCTGTGACGGCGACGGCGACGGGGACGGGCTGGGGTTCGTGTCTCTGAAGAATCGAGGATGGAGGATGTGGCTTGTTCCCGTTCCGCGTGTGCCCCGTTTGTTACTGTACTGTACTGTACTGTACTGGACATACGGAAGAAACGCCTCTCTGTGGCATTGCTGGTCAGTGCGCCTAACGCCCGGAAGGTACCTGAGAAGCAGTCACAAGCCTCCTAACTGTGTAGCGGAGTTCAGTCAGGTAGGTATGCATAAAACGGAATGTGGCACACTTCCAAATGTTTAGCATGGCAGATCCGCCGGCCGGCCGTTCCAAGGTTTCCCCTCCCGCTCCGGTAGGGACCAGGTTGCGCTTCGTTTCATCTCTTCTTCATTGTTATGCATCAAAGCTCGCCTGCTTTTTTGAACAGACAATGACAGCACCTTGTAACATTACCTATAAAGTCAAATGGCCCGGACCTACAGATTCATAGCAAGTCTTCAAAAACATCTTTTGAGTTGATGCGATCTTCAAAATAAACCACTGCAACAAATCACGAACATTGTTTACACTTGTCTATTTTTGATACCAGTGATTTGATTTTAATGTTCCATGGCCTTTTCAAACAGTCCCCTGAGCTGATCTTTCTCCTGCTGAAGCTCTTTGGCCAACCCCGGCGCAAGCATCAGCACCCGAGCTTGAGGAATTGTCCCCTCGACCAAATCATCAATGTGCTCCGACCCAAAGCCGAGTGCCTTCAGGCCAGCGGGTTGGTCGCCCAAATCGGACAGAAACCTCCTGAGAGCATCAGCCAGAATCTCACCAGCGCTCTCCCGCTTAGCGTTGCTGATGTCCACGCCGAATGCCTCGGCTGCTTGAAGGTGACGTTCTGGGTTTGAGGCGCCTGTGAAGCTGAAGACTGCTGGTGATGTGACGGCTACAGAGACGCCGTGGGGGATGATTGGGCTGGGCACCTGGTAACCCTCGTGTCGATATCCCGGGTTTTGTCCTGAAATCGGATAAGACATACCTGCCGCAAGATTAGAGATGCATTGACCAACATCAACCAGAATACATACCATGGCACAAGTGGACGCCAGCGTTACCAAAGCCTACACCAGCCAGCGTTGCGGCGAGCAACATCTGGCTCTGTGCCTCCATGTCATCGGGATCTCTGACCGCTCGCGGCAGATACTTCACTGTATCGCGTAGTGCCTTGAGCGAGAAGATGTCACTGATCGGATTGGCGCCCTGGTAAGCGGGCCTCAGAATGGGGTTCTTAGGTCTCGGTATCCTCTCGGTGTAGGGGATGGCCGTCCAAGACTCGAGGGAATGACATAGCACATCTAGTCCTGAGGCAGCCTTGACGGCTGAAGGCATTGTTCGCGTGTTGAGAGGATCGCATATACCTAGAGTCGGCTTCAGGTTTCGGTGGGCAATACCCGTTTTTGCGCGCTTAGACACGAGGTCGAAGATCGCCGTTCCCGTAGTTTCGCTCCCGGTGCCTGCTGTTGTAGGCACGGCAATGAGAGGCTTCAATGCCTTGTCGATTGGCCGGCCATTACCCAACGGCGCGTTGACGAAGTCAAGAAAGTCGGCATCGGGGTAGCACGTGTAGAGATTCATCAGTTTCGCAGTGTCAATGACAGAGCCTCCACCAACAGCCAGGAAGGCGTCAGGGTTATACGGCTTGGCCCACTCGATGGCTTCCTTGACTCTTCAAAATGTGAGCCCAAATATTTCAGCAGTAAACACAACGATATGACCTACGAGGTGTCTTTTGGTTCGATCTTCGTCTTGTTAAAGACCTTGAAATTCACGCCCTCCCGAGTCAGAGCCTCACGCACTTGCTGCATGGCTGACAGCTTGTCGACGGTCTCGTCGGTAACGACACAGACGCGCTGAGCGTTCATGTTCTTCAGATCCATGCCGACCTCCTGGGTCGCTCCGTTGCCGAACCGGATGGACGACGCGGCCATCTCAAAGGCACACTCCTTGAGCTGGGACTCGTCCTGTGGCGTGGCGTAGTTCCTCCGCGTGGACTGCTGTACGCGGGGCCCGTGATGATGGTGTCCTGGATTGGAGTGACACGGACAGGATGGCGGATGGGTAAACTGAACCGCCCGCAGCAAGTTCACTGCTCGCGTGGCCGCCTGTCAATTAATGCTTAGTATCGATGGAAACAATGGGTTTGCCTCTTCGTTCACTCACACCGGGCACGACTCTCACTGCTACACCCATCTCGACTGGAGCTATTCACACAAGAAGAATGAGTGACCGTTGATCAATGAGATTGTTTAGTTTAGGAAACGTTCCAAGAAATGGCCGCCGGTGTCGCAGAGGCCATCGTAGGTAGCTGTCGGATTTCCCCGCATGGTTTGCCCATCTTATCGATGGTGGAGCTTACACTAGGTATGGCTTCATAGCATAGCTAGCTTAAGGTAGACTTAACCTCGGTCGTCACTTTTAGACTGCGCCGCCTCTACGGAGCTACAGGACTCTCTTACCGTAGTCAGCAAACAAAGGCCGCTCCAGATGGCCTCGATAGTGCAAATGCGTATTAATCGTGCTGGACATGGGTTGGCTGGCTGGCTGGCTATGATGCAATGGATGCCATGGGCAATGGCCAAACTGTGGGGGAGGCTGGAAGACCCCGCATGACCTACCTCTATTTCCCCGCGTCAGCGTGTAGAATATCCGTTGAGAGCCGCTGCTGTGGATGCTGTCACGTCGATGACTTACCTAAGGAAAGCACGGCAAGGCACTCCCTAGGCAGTATCTGGAGGTGATAGCCATTGAATACGAAAGAAGATAATGTTGACGTCCACCACCTGGGAGTGTCGCTGACGTTGCTGGATGGCCAATCAGATTCAACTTTAACGTTCACTTATCAACACATTTAGAATCTATGCAGTACGGTTCTCCTGAGAACGGTTATCTCGAGTTCGTGTGACACTATCGCTATCAGTCACAATGGTTTCTATTCGATCGCAACCGTCAGCCCCTCGCTGTCATTCGCGGTTTTGGAGTCCCACAGTACGATTGCACATGGACGTTCATGCCCAACCGGCAGACCAAAGTGCACTTCTATGCTGCATGCAAGAGCATCAATTGGGAATATACGAGAATCGTGCCACTTCGTGCCACAGTCAGATTTAAGCAGGCTACACCACCAGACCTCCAAACGTCCAGTTTTTTCGGTTTTTTATCTCGCGTACGATGACAAGTTCTTCAATTTCCACAAGATTGCAGTGCTTCTGAGATGGACTACAGTCAATTGAGTCTCGCTATCGACGAATTCCGGCTCCTTCGAGTTGAGCCTTCTAGCGATTGGAACGCTGATATCGCATGCCATTTAGAGCAAACCGCTTTGGGATCGGCCCAAGACTATGTCGCTCTCTCTTATTGTTGGGGGGAGCCGACTGTCAAGAGGCGGATCATCGTGAATAATAAGCCCACTCGAGTTACAGTGAATCTTTCAAGAGCACTACGCGCCTTGCGCATGAGAGGATATCTGTATGTGTGGGCCGATGCGCTCTGTATCGATCAAAACAACCCAGAAGAGCGTAGCCAGCAGGTACTCAGAATGGGAGCGATCTACCGTTCAGCTTCAAAAGTGGTGACTTATCTTGCCTGTCCACATCCAGCAGATGCAAAGCTGCTATCAACCGTCTTCCAGCGCATACTAAAGGAAGAGCAAGCTTCAAAGCAAGCGCAAAAAGATTACGAGAATCTTCTAGAGGAGTTGGCCACTCGCAAGAAAAGCATCTGGTCCCGCTTTACCAGAGGTGCCAATGAGGAGCCTTCCAAACCGCAACCTTTTCGCGTTAAACTCAACACCCGTGAGCGCGATACTCTTGAAAATGTACTAAAGAATCCGTATTGGCGCCGTGCCTGGATCATGCAAGAGATCTCAGCAAATGTGAACCTAGAAATACTATGGGGCGGAAGGACTTTCAAGTTAAACAGCTTGGTCAAGGTTGCTCGTTTGGCAGCCCAGTCCAATACCATCGCAACCCCCAGCCAGCTCCGCTATCTTCAGAGCATCGAGAGTATCCGCAATGCTCAGTTAAGGATGGCACCACATTCGATTTTGGAAGTCTTAGCTATGGTACGCGACTCAGAAGCAACGGAGCCACGCGACAAAATATATGCCATTCTCGGTGTAACGTCAAATGGCAACATCTTGGTTCCATATCCCAGCTACACACTGCCTGATTCTGCAATCAATAAGGACATGACCATTCGATGGATTCGCACGACAAAGTGCCTTGATTTTCTGGTCCTAAAACATGATCGTGTCGGGCCTTGGTATCTCAATTGGTTTGATCGCAACTCATTTTCCAATCAGCGGATACAGTCCTTCACCAGAAATTCGAAAGAGACTTCTCGTCGGAAGCTATTTGACTCTTGCGACGAACGTGTCGCAGAGTTTAAAAGCAAAGAAGACTCATTTGCAATAAAAGGATTTTTCGTGGATCATGTCACGCAGTGCTCTCCAACTCTGCACGAGGCCCAAAACAGAGGGTTCACTGAAGCTCAGTTGAACAACACCAGGAGCTCTGGAACACAAGCTCCGACAACACCTCAAAGCGAAGAGGCATCAAAAAAGCTAGAATGGTTGATGAAGGAAATATGTTTACAGAGACTTTTCGGGGAACAGAAACGTCCATCGACAGGAGACTCAATGACAAGTCTATTATACAATCTGGAAAAGAACTCGGAGCCAAATAAGAGCGTATTGCAGTGGATTCATAGCTGCTCTGAGGGACCGTTGATGATTGACGGTCATCAAATTGCATTTTGGTTCTCTCAAACCAAACGGCATTGGAGGAGGTCAAAGAGAAAGTTTCTGTTGGGGAGAGTCATGACAAATCTCCAGTCTCAGATGCGTCTCGGAACAACAGCCCAAGGGCGTCTCGGGTGGTTCAATAAAAACACTAGGCCCGGCGACAAGATCGCGATCCTATTAGGTTGTCGATTTCCGGCTGTCCTCCGGAAGTGTGAAGAAAGTGGCTACTGTGTGGTGGGTGAAGCCGTTTTACATGGGCTAATGTATGGGGAAGCAATGGAAAAAGGACGGCCGGAATTTATTGAACTGGTGAATGCTCCTGAATAACTTCGCTAGGCGGGGCTTACTATAAATCCATCACGATATAACTGGAGGTACCAGTGAATTCTGGCTGAGGAATAATCAATGCTTCTTGCCACTTGACAACGGTTCTGCTGGAGCTTAAGCGAAGATACATAGTTTTAGAAACATTCGACTGATTAATTCAATGTGAGAGTTTGGGCCTTGAATTGGCGACTTATAGTATGCGATAAAAAGAGAAGGAGGCTATGAATGGGGGCAAGGCTACTGTAACTTGCCGTCTCCCGGTCAATTGCTTGGTAAAGTTGCAAATCACAATGGTGCTGGTTGAGAATTTTGGGGTAACGTTGTTATGTAGTAGTCCGTATTCAAGCATTTGCAAGAATTCTGGCCATTTTGATAGCCAAATGTCGAGCCGAAGTCCTTTTGTAGTTCTTAGTAGCACGAGCTAGAACTTTTTTGGCTCGCCGATAAGCCGCTAGGAGATCTACACCGTCATGCCGCAATACTATCTCCACGTACCATCCATCCACTGCTATGAGACCATAACTGGCCTAGAGTAACACCCTCGTGGTGAAAAATGGCCCCTTGATGTGATCGATCAAGGAGTCGATACAGCCCGAGCAAGAAGGGTTCCCCGGCTGTTGTAGACCGACCGGGACCCATTCTTGATCGACTTGGATCGACCGATTAAAGCCGCCCCGAGCCAGCGAATCTCTGAAGGAACCGGCGGCAAAAGCTACCATTCGGGCCTGTGGCGGCGTGAGTCAGGTGGAGTGGCTAGATGAATTTGATCTCCACGCCTCAGACATGGAGCTGCCTATTCCGGGTAGAGAATAACATCGCGCGATTGCACGAGAGTAATCTTGCTTATAGAGAGAAAACATTTATAAGACCAAGCAATTCATCTTTTCAAAAACGTCTGCCCTGGATTCTAAGGCACCGCTGGACAGGCTTAGAATATCGAAGCCTCACTTCTCATGCCATTTGCACTGCACACCGTCCTTCCGATCACAGGGTTGACACAAGCAAGGTAAAATGGCAGCACCGGTCGTACCCACCAGCCAGCCCCGGCGTCGTCTCCGGGATGTCCTTCCGGACCTGCATCTCGGCTTTCACAAGCCCGGCCCCAAGAACGCCATCACGGACGTGGAGGGTGTCCTGACCCACACCCACACCATCCACGACAAGGATGGCACCGTCAACACCGGAGTGACCACCATCCTCCCCCGCAAGGACTGGTTCCACGATGCCTGCTATGCCGGCATATTCCGCTTCAACGGCTCGGGCGAGATGACCGGAAGTCATTGGATTGAAGAGACCGGTCTGCTCTCATCTCCCATCATCTTGACTAACTCCTTCTCCGTCGGGGAGGCGTACCGCGGGATCTACGACTATGCCATCAAGAACTACAAGGACGCCGAGGGCGGCGTCGACTGGTTCCTCTTGCCCGTCGTGGCCGAGACGTTCGACGGTTGGCTAAACGATCTCACGCAGTTCGCCGTCAAGCCGGAGCATATCGTCCACGGAATTACGAATGCCACGAGCGACTTGATTCCCGAGGGCAACACGGGCGGCGGCACAGGCATGATCTGCCACGGACACAAGGGCGGCACTGGCACAGCCAGCCGTGTAGTCGCCGGACTCGGCTCCGCCGGTGCGGATGGGCAGCATCCCTCGAAGCAATACACCATCGGCGCGCTGGTGCAGTCCAACTACGGCCGGTTGAAGAACCTGCGCATCAGTGGTGCTCCCATTGGACGCATCCTTTTTGAAGAGCTGGAGAAGGCCAACGCCGATGAGGCCGCAAAAGCTGCAGCCGCCGAGGCGGACAAGGCCAAGGATCAGAAGGACGGTAGTATCATTGTCATCCTTGCTACAGACGCTCCTCTGCACCCGACTCAGCTGCAGCGGATTGCAAAGAGGGCCACCGTAGGCCTGTCAAGAGTTGGCAGCTATGGCCATAACCCCTCGGGTGATCTGTTCCTGGCATTCTCAACGGCGAACAAGATCCCGGTGCAGACAGTTACGGCCGAGGCTAGACAGGTCGACCCGTTTGTGGCCCGGCCGCTGACAGTCGAGGTTACAGACGACCAGACGATCAACGCTCTGTTTGAGGCTGCCGCAGACGCAACAGAGGAGGCTATCTACAATGCGCTATGTATGGCAGAGACAATGGTTGGGCATAGAGGCCACAAGATTGAGGCATTGGATTTGGAAAAGCTGAAAACCATCATGGCAAAGTACGCTTGAATAAAAACTGTTTATTGCCGACCGAACACCATTTCCTTTTGATTAAAGTTACAAACATATCACAACGATAAAACAAACAATCTTGTTAAAACTCAGATGCAATCGGCATGGGTCTTTTACATGTGTGACAGCGATTGGGCAATTAACAATGTCTGGTGCCAAGCTATTTCGATTATAACTGTAAATCGTCGATATACAGGAGCAAGGTGTACGGCACCTGGCATGTGAGTAACTTTGCCCATTGTAGGCGAGGATTGCGAGCATACAACTGCTTGAGTTTGACTGATAGCTACTCCGCGTCGGCGATTCGTCAGCTTCGCTAGAGACCTTCTTATTTGGGCTGTGATACAAAGCCTTTGGCTCCACATAGATGGGATTACACTTTACCATGCGTAAAAGAATCGAAAAGAGATCTGATGTTTTCCAGAGACTTCATGCTGAAAGCGGTACGGTCTTACGGTCTTTCTGCAGGTTGTCATTCGCACTCAATCTGATAATTCAGCATCGGTGTGGCTTACTGATAAGTTCAGGCACCGAGATTCTGAACTTCATCAATTACATCATTGGATTGGGGATTTGCCCAACTATTGGACTCGGTGATTCGTCAGTGATGTCGTAAGTCGTCACAGTGAGCATCGAGGTATAACAGCACGCGGCCGGGATCCCAATTACATTTTATGATAGAACAAGGAACCATAAACCAAGATGGTCCGGGTGTCACTCCAAGAGCTACAGCGGGTAGGCGGCCTGCCGTCTATCCATCTGAAGCTCACGCCGGTCTGGTCTGACTCAAATGTCCATCAGAAGTCACAACACAATGGGCCGCCTACACCACCTGCTGGTATTGCTATCACCATGCGACTCAAGCCACCACGGAGCCGTGTTGGTGCTGGCATCCCAATACTTACACTTCCGCTGAAGATGGGTCCTACGCCGAGTGCTCGGTATGATGGGAACGCTCTCCGTGCCTACGATAGCAAAGGTGAACTGTCACTGTCCTACACAGATGAGGACCCTGAATTCGGCCCGCGGACATGGTTTGCCGACCGTGACCCCGTCGGCGATGAGATCTTCGTCGAGTTCTTTGCTCCGGCGCGGAAGACCGACAAGAATACGGCACTAGGACCCCGAGTCGACCTACGCAGAGACCCGGGCGGCGGTCTTGTGGGTCAGGGCATCGGCTTCATACCTAGTCCTCCGCCTCCAGGCGATACTGAGAAGGGTGGCCCTGGGGAGGGCACGAGCGGCAGTATCGACCCATGGGAGATCACTGTTGAATGGGACCTTGATAAGACGCCAGAGGGCACGAAAGGGGCCTGGTCTTATGGTGACTCCATCTCGACAACCGTGGTGGATAGTCCCGAGAGGGCTATTGGCCATGGCGTCTTCGCTTTAGGAGCACTGCAGAGATATCCGTCTTGGGATGTGGACTTGTCAGCTGCACCGGAGCGAGTTTACGCTGTGTACTGGCTGGATCCAGCACCGTGGGACATGATTTCGCTCTCCAAGCAGACCAATGAGATCTACCAGAGGATAGCAACTTATTTCAACTCTCTGGACCCATTCCGAGTCTTCTTCAGACAGATCGAGTACGGAGACGGCGGCACAGGGGCAACCTACAGCTTTGTGCTCGAGTACTCTGCGCCAACAGCGCCTCAGATGACACCCCACGAGATGGTCGATCTGTTAGCACACGAGACAGTGCACGAATATGCGCTGATGGAGCCGGAGACAGAAGAGGAGGCCTGGTACGTTGAGGGCGTCGCGAGCTACATTGGGGCCCTGGCCGGCCTGCCGAGGCAGGACATGATCAAGAGTCTCAACAACTACGCGCAGGCATACTACACGAGCCCGACTGTTGGCCTGGATTATCGATATGTACTTGATCACTACTGGGACAACCTGCATATAACGAGGGTCCCATACTTCCGAGGGCTTATGTATCTGGCTCAAGTGAATGGATGGATCATAGAGGCTACAGTTGGAGAGCACTCAGTGGATGACATCATTAAAGGGTTATATCAACTCCGGCTGGAAGGCAAGCCATGTGGAACGAAAGATTTCAACAAGATGCTCAGCAAGTATATCGGCGAGAAGAAAACAAAAGAAGCATTTGACGCGATGCTGAGGGGCGACCTAATCATTCCAGGCCAGGGCTGTTTTGCTGATTATGGGCTCAAGCTGGTCAGGCATGACTTGGAGAAGTTCGAACTGGGATTTGATCCCAACTCTATGCGCACGAGCAAGGTGAAAGGCCTGGTGAAGGGCTCGAATGCCGAGAAGGTGGGCGTGAGAGAAGACGATGAGATTGTGATAGGATACCAGGTGTGGAGTGTGGCCGACGCCCTGGAGAACAAGATGCAGCTCACTGTGAAGAGACCATGGGGAGAGCAGACGCTGGAGTGGTGGCCACGAGGCGAAAAGGTTGAGGCGTACATGTGGGTTGAGGCACATCAAGAGTCAATCAACGGGTTGTGATGTGGTTTCTAGTTAACTGCTCAAGGCTAATTGAGGAAATGGTGGATGCTCGTTGCCACAATACGTCACTGGGAATGGGGTAATTACGCTCAAGCTTGCGGGTAGCCAGGGGGCATCGTCACCGAGAGCAGCTGGGTCAGTTGTGAATTTCGATTGGCCCCTCCAATAGACAAACGACCATCCATCTACCTGTCGCAACAACACCTTTTGCAATTCTGCAATTGATTCAATGCGTGAAGTCGCACAAACAAGAAGGCTTCTCTGAGCGCATTATCGCCATGTCCTTCTGCTTTAGCTAAGGTCCTCTGCCCAATCGCTATTCAATTGCGGGATCCATGTCTGTTGTGCCGGCAGTTCGCTCGCTGACGCCGGAGCATAATGCTGCGACCCTCATCCTCCGAAGATGAGCACTTCGCTTTCCTCGCTAACTATGCGACAAGCTCTACGTCAGTGAATTCGAGAGATCAGGACGATCCGCGAGTCCTGTCGAAGCGCGTAGCGTACCGAAGGCGACCATTCAAGCTTCGAGCTTGGCTGCGATCAAGGCCTCGAATCATCGGTCGTGATTGTCGGCGACACCCGCTGCAGACGTTGCTTCGCGCGTTCAGATATCTATTGCTCGCCCTGCTCGCTCTGTTTATCCTGATACCAATCTATGCGCCATCCTATACAAAGTTGCCAGGACACTATGAAGAGCTCGAGGCAAGATGCGAGGCAGCTACGAAGACTGGTTGCGCGAATCCATTCCGAGAGAAAGTGTTTATCAGCGTGAGCCTCTATGATAGAGGTGGACACCTGGCGGGTGGGAAATGGGGAGAGATGGTCTTGGATCTGATCAACATGATTGGGCCAAGTAATGTGTTCCTGAGCATTTACGAGAACGACAGCGGCCCGGAAGGCATCGCGGCGCTGGAGGACTTCAAGAAGAAGGTGCCTTGCAAGCACGAAATCGTCAGCGACGCGCACGTATCGCTGCAAGGATTCCCCAGGGTGACTATGCCTGATGGCAGCCAACGGACCAAGAGGCTTGCCTACCTCTCGGAGATGCGCAACAGGGCTCTGAGACCTCTGGACAGGTTCACAACTAAAGCCGGCTCGGTGGAGTTTGACAAGATCATGTTTCTCAATGATGTTGCGTTTCGGCCAGTAGATGCTGCGCATCTGCTATTCAATACAGACATCGACAGGGACGGGCACACCAGGTATTTGGCAGCTTGCGCCCTGGACTACAAAAACCCCTTTCTCTTCTACGATCTGTATGCACAGCGCGACGCTCACGGGTACTCTAATGGACTGCCTTTCTTCCCGATCTTCAGCTTTTCAGGGAATGAGACTTCGCGACAGAACATGCTTGACCAGAAAGACGCTGTCCGTGTCAGCTCGTGCTGGAGCGGGATGGTGGCGATGCAGGCGCGGTACGTCCAGAATAGGAACTCCTCACTGCCATCGCCCGGCTGGCAAGATGTCAACTCGCATGTCATCGAGCCAGCACGGCCGACCAACGTCACAGCTCCGGTGCGATTTCGCCACGAGCCCGAGATCTTCTACGATGCTTGCGAGTGCTGCTTGTTCATGGCGGATGTGGCCGAGGCAGCACGCAAGGCCGATGCCAGGGAGAGAGCCATCTATGTCAACCCGTATATCAGGGTAGCGTACGACTTCAACACTCTCAGCTGGCTTCCGCTCGTGCGGCGCTGGGAACGCGTATTTGCCGTCCCTCATGCCATGTTGAGCAAGCTCGCTCGCCTGCCTACCCATAATCCATACCGCACCGTCAAAGAAGGCGAAGTATTCACGGAGGAGGTCTGGGATGGGAAACAGTGGAGGCTTGTCGACCGCGTTGGCCGGAACGGTCTTTTCTGCGGCGCCCGGGAAATGCAGCTCATACAGGAGGGCGAGCGGACAGACGATGTGAATTGGATTGATGCGAAGATTCCTGCCGGTCAGGCGCTGCATTTTCCGATCTGAATGGCCAGGACCCCTTTTTAGAAGAGAGAGACCACAAGCAGGAATGAATCTCATCGGCATTTCCTCACCATGAAATAATACCCAAGATTAATTTGATAAGCCCAAATACAATCTATGCTCAATTCAATAGGTAATACGCGTGATTTGTATGTTTGTATCTCGCGAAGTTTGCGCAAAACAAGTACAATGATGGTGAAGTGGAAGTCGCGAATAGCTTCAACAAAAAGAAGAAAAAAGACAAAAACGTGGGACCCATGCGGGGTTGACAACCGGGCCCGGGTGGGTGGCTTTAGGTTGTGCTGTGGGACTGCGGGACCCTCCAATGGGCCCCCACCAGATCTAGACCAGGACGATGTTGTCATGGCGTGAGACTTACACCAGAAACAACAACAGCTACGAAGGGCTCTACATTGAGGGCTTTCTTCAGCATGCGCCATTCGACAACTGACAAGCCGACGGTAGCATACTATACCTGCAACATTATAGCTTACAATTTGACAATGTGAAGAGTCATTACTATTATGGTCTGAAGGCAGAGAAAGATCTACCGAGCAAGCTTCGATCACTGGTTGGGGCTGAAAGAGGGCAACATGTGTACGGTTCGCCACCAGCTTGATCCGGTGATCAACTCATGCCGCCCTGGTCGTCCGTCCGTCTTTGTTGTACAAAGGTACAGGGTTACAGAGGGGAGAGAGAAAGGTAGTAGAGGTCGAGGCGGCGCGAGAATCTGGCAATTAATCTCAAACCGGGGAAAAGAAGATCACGGCTCGGCCAACCGTTTCATCCGCCGACAACTGACCTGAATAGTGTCATGGAATTATGGGCGGTAGACGCGCGGCTGGGCCAGATGGCCGAGGACAGCGAAGCTCAAGCCACGGCCATGGGCCGTTATCAGACACACCTGGGAGATGATAAAATCCAGGGGGGCGGGCATACACAAACACCTGAGACGCTGAGACGCTGAGACGCTGAGACGCTGAGGGGAAGAGAAGCTGCTCTGAAGGGAAAGGATGGGGGAGATCGAGCCTCTTTGATTCGGTGCGAGGTGAGAGAGGATGAGAGAGGATGCGGGTGAGTGAATGAGTATGCGCCCCCAATATGCACAATAACATTCTCTCTATTACCTAGCACGTGCCTAGGTACCTACCTACCTGAGGTATGTGGGAGGATGAATCTGCTAAGGTAGGCTGGGAATGAGAGGACTTTGGAGGCAAATGAGGAGTCGAGAGGAGAATACCCGCGTAAGTAGGTATCTAGGTAAGGTACCGGTAGGAGGAAGAGGAGGAGGAGGAGGAGGAGGAGGAGGGTGAGTAAGAGGGTAGGAAAAGAGGTAGGAAGGAAAAAGAAGACAAGGTGCGGTAGGTAAGGAAGGTGGGCGGTGGGCAATGCATTGTTGTTATTGTGATGTGATGGGTGCCCCAACCTCGTTGTTTTTCGACCTCTTTTTCTCTCTCTGACTCTGACAGGGAGGAGGTGTAATAAAGTCACCAGGCAAAGCGGCAATGTTAATGTTAGTGGTAAGGAGGTAGGACATACCTAACGTTATAGGTAGGTAGCTTCGGTCAGGTATGTACGGTGGTAGGTGGTAGGTGGTAGGTGGTAGGTGGTAGGTGGTAGGTGCAGAGTGCAGGTGGTAAGGGCAAGAGTCAGCGCAGGTGCAGTAGCTACATAGCTGCTGGGTGCTAAAGTTAGGTGCTAACAAGGTGGTTGTCTCTGCTCCCTCGCCCACTCACGCCCACGCCCGCCTGCCCTGCCGCCTTGTTTTGCCTGCGCAGGACGCAGGACATAGGTAGGCCATAATACGCCTGGTCTCGCATCGCGACACCGCACTCTCCTCTCTTTCTCCCCCCTTCATCTCTCTTTCCACCACCCAACCCAGCCCTTTCTTCCTGCTGAAGCTCGATTTCATCCTTGCGACACTGAAAACAGTCTGAATATCGCCTTTCTCTCTCATCACCCCTTCATTTTCACTACCTGGTAAGCTATTTCTCGTCGGCGCGACTGCCCATTGTCCCGCCCTCGGTCGCATCACCTTTCTGGCGCCATTTGCGACACAATTCCCAGATCGCGCTTCTGCACCCTCTTCTACCTGCGCCAGAGCGTAACTGACAGTACTGTGTCCTTAGAATCCAGTCAATTGCAATGGCTCGCGAAGGCACCCGCTCCACGACCGGCAACTCCAAGCCGCGTGTCTTCCCCGTCGTCGACACCGCGCCCGCCGTGACGCGCAAGAAGTCCACCAAGCCCAAGACCAAGAAGACAACCACCGTCAAGGGCGCCAAGCCCGCCGGCGTCACCAAGAAGACTGCCCCCAAGAAGGAGGGCGGCGTGGCCAAGAAGGTACGTGCTGCACATGTCAACATCACTGGCGCCGGCCCTCTGGCTCTGACCCTGCACGCGCCGTTGTGTCGCCTATGCGACTGGCAAGCGCTTCCGGTCTCAGGGCACGCCTGTGCACTTCCAATAACATGTTCTAACATTCTGCCACAGGTCAAGTCTGCCGTGAAGAAGGCGGAGAAGAAGGTTGACAAGGACGTCAAGAAGGTCGAGAAGGTATGTTGACCGCAGGGCGGGCTCTTGTTTATATTTCCTCCTCGCGCCCGCCCAACCCCAAAACTTTGCAACCCCTCCAAGCAGAGCTCCTGTTGCTATGCTAGAAGAGTCTATATTCGGATTCGCATCCTCTTGCGCAAAGACATTATCCCTTCCTTTTCCCTCATTTTTTGTTGTGGCTCGTCCGCTGACACCTTTCCCAGGAGGCCAAGCCAAAAACCACCAAGAAGACAGCCGCCAAATAAGCGTGAAGCAAGATATCCAGTCTTCTGAACGCGCGCGCCCCAGCATGTTGACCTGAACATGTGGAGGCATCTGTGATTTTTCTGGTTGTTGGCTTTTCTGTTATGCTTGCGTGCCTGACGAGAAGCCATTTGGTGTGCTCCTCTCTTCCCTTTGTATGTTCCATGATTTTGGCTGGATACCGCTGGTATGTCTGAGCAGTGCAGGGTTGCAAGTTCGGAGTGAAGGGTATTCGGGATGGATGGCTGTATTTGACGTCAGGGATTGCAAATAATGATGGTCCTTACCTGTGTGCACTGGTCTTTGCCGTCCTCTCTGGTCGTTACCGTGATGCACTCCTCTTATCCCTCTACTGCATCGTGTCTCCTCATCAGTTCCTTCAGATTGCTGTCCATGATCACTTCCTATGCGATTTCTCCGGGCAGGAAGCTCACCTTCCCCGTTAGTCTGCCTGGATATGATAAGCCCTTCTACTGCTATTTGACTAGGGACCTTGGTTATATGGGCGACTTGTGGGAGCATTGGGCTTGAGCCTCGAGCACCATTCCCATAAGTTCTGCTATACACCCACGTACAGACTCAGATATTTTACTCGTACTAGAAAATGTGCGAGACATCTAGTACCTTTGAAGAGGGCTGGCTAGCCCCGTGATTATCAACGCATCACATAATCAAGGCTGAATCTAGGAACAAATTAATAAAGAACTCAAGAACTCGAAGGAGTTCTGAGATTCACCAGATGATATTAGGGAAGCAGCTCTAGACTCTATCTGGGGCCCAAACACTCAATATTCTCTATTAGTAACTATATGAGTTACTGACCGACCTAGCTTGTTGATATCTAACAATGCCACATCTCCTTATAAGGGCTCCGGCGCTTCCTCAATAGCAACCACGCGCTACTTCGCGGCTAGCCACCTGATGGGCTTGATTCGTTTGGTGGAGAACATGATGTATATAGCAGAGACCGCTTATGAATAGGATGTCGGCGGACCGAGGAATATGACGATATCATCTCAGGCACCTATTGCTCCAAGAGTTCCGAGACAAAGAGTCTCAGGGGCTCGAGCGAACTAACACACCAGACCCGCCAAAAGCCAGCGAGCCAGCACACATCGAAGCCCCCGGGGACAGCTTAATCCGCCCGTCCAATCGGGTCGTTATGGGCCACCTTACTGCCCACTGCAGTGGGTTCACGTTACGCATGCCGCACTAATGACAGCACACCCGCCAGTACCTAGCGTCTGTCCGTTTGGTCGCGAATCCTAAAGCGAAACGCGGCGCATCGCGAACTCCCAAAAAGTGCAAAGCTACAACTCGACACGACAGGCATGCCAACGCCAGCGGGACAGCGACAAGACACCGCCTAACGATGCATATCATCAAGCCCTCGTGGCTCAGTCATAGCGGTGAGATGTTCCTACCGAAAGCTTCTGACTACCTTTCAATGAATGAATGAATGAGCTTGCTGCTAACTGCTTGGGACCCCCTGCAATAGGAGAGCAGAAGGACTTTGAAGTCTACAGCTGCCACATCTCGCCCGATGGCTCGAGACTGGCCACTGCGGGCGGTGGTAAGTTTGCATCATATCAATATGAATCAGCCCGTCATCCGTGCTAACCCAAACGATTTGCAGATGGCCACGTCCGCGTTTGGTCGACCGAGTCCATCTACAGCTCCGACGACAAGACCTACACGAAGCCTCGACAGCTCTGCCACATGAGCCATCACCTCGGTACCATTCACACCGTTCGCTTCTCACCAAACGGCCGCTACCTGGCGTCCGGCGCCGATGATAAGGTCATATGCATATACCAACTTGACAGCAGTCCGCCGTCTCATGTCGCCTCGTTTGGTAGGATAGCTTCCGCAGGTTCTAGAGAGGATACGGTGGACTAATTGACTACTATAGGCACAAACGAGCCTCCACCCGTCGAGAACTGGAAGACCTACAAGCGTCTCATCGGCCACGACAACGATGTACAAGATCTGGCATGGTCCTACGATAACTCCCTGCTGGTGTCTGTGGGGCTCGACTCGAAGGTCGTGGTATGGTCAGGGCACACATTTGAGAAGCTTAAGACGCTGGCAGTGCACCAGAGCCATGTCAAGGGCATCACCTTCGACCCCGCAAACAAGTACTTTGCCACGGCGAGCGACGACCGCACCATCAAGATCTTCCGCTTCACTCCCCCGGCGCCGAATGCCACCCAGCACGACATGGTTAACAACTTTGTCCTGGAGACGAGCATCAGCACCCCCTTCAAGAGCTCGCCGCTCACGACGTACTTTCGACGGTGTTCCTGGTCTCCGGACGGCAACCACATTGCGGCCGCAAACGCCGTCAACGGGCCGGTCAGTTCGGTTGCTATTATCGAGCGAACACGGTGGGACAGTGAGATCAACCTGATTGGACACGAGGGGCCGACGGAGGTGTGCATGTTCTCTCCCAGACTGTTCTACACGAAGAAGCCCCCTGAGAGCGGGGTGACGAACGGTCACAGCTCGGCCGGGCTGGTCACGGTGATTGCATCGGCGGGACAGGATAAAACCCTGAGCATATGGAATACGAATACATCTCGGCCTCTCGTGATTCTTCAGGATCTAGCGTCAAAGTCGATATCCGATTTAGCGTGGACCCCTGATGGACAGACGTTGTTCATATCCAGTCTCGACGGCGGTATCATTGCAGTCAAGTTCGAGGTCGGTGAGCTGGGATGGGTAGCTAAGGCTGAAGAGAACGACAAGGCACTTCAGAAGTACGGCGCATCGCGGAAGGGCATGGGAATCGCGGAGGATGTTGAAGGTCTCATCTTGGAGGACCACAGCAAAGCTGGTGAGCTGCGTGGAGCCGAGTCGCGCATGGGAGCCCTCATGGGCGACCTGCATCCGGGGACGAAAGAATCAACCCCGACTACGAACGGGGTCAAGGCAGGTGGCAAGACGCCCGAGACAAACGGCGACTCGGAAAAGTCGAAGGACAAGGAGAAGGAGGCTGACAAGGACAAGCCGACCGAAGAAAGTGCAGACAAGACCGCGGAGAGGATAAATATCCTCAAGTCGCGGGTGACGATCACCAAGGATGGTAAGAAGCGAGTTGCGCCTCTTCTCGTCTCTTCCTCGGGCACTGGCACCTCCTCCTTACCGCAGACCCAGTTCGTTGGAGCAAGCTCAACAAAAGCCACGCAGAATGACGCGCCTCAAACCATTCTTGACTTGTCAAAGCCCTTCGACGGCCTTCCTCGAGGAGGTCTGGCGGCGATGCTTCTAGGAAACAAGCGCAAGGCTGTTGCTATCGAGGGTGAGGATGAGGAAGATCATGTCAGCAAGCGCCCGGCATCAGGGCCTACGCCAATAGTGATCAATGGCGTCGACGGCTTAGAACATGCAGTGCTACAGCCACCTGCACAGGGTGTTGTGTCAACCCCTGAATTCCTTCGACCGGCTGTCCTGAACCCCTCAATAGCCATCTCGCAAGTAAGGCTAGCGGTTCCCAAGGTCAGGTCACACATCCTAAGACCCCTAGAACGCGGCGTCTTGCAAGGAGAGAGCACGCTGGAGGATGCTTCGAAAGTTCCGGAGAACATCATCTTAGAAGCCAAGAACCCTGTACAGATCAAGGACCCTTCTCACATTCTAGCCACCAAGCGGGGCGTCCTGCTGTGGCAAGATTACCTACCGAAGGCTGTTATCCTGGTTACAGGAAACAAGAACTTCTGGGCAGCCGCTTGTGAGGATGGTAGTGTTTATGTCTGGACGCCTGCTGGTCGACGTCTCATCAACTCAATGATTCTCGAGTCACAACCTATAATACTCGAATGCCGAGAACACTGGCTCCTGTGCATAACAGCCGTCGGTCTAGCACACGTTTGGAACATCAAGACTCTCAAATCACCACATCCCCCTGTCAGCCTTGCCCCCATTCTGGAAATTGCAATACATTCCCTTCACGCGCACGCGGCGACGCCAGCACCCGGGGTGACGTCTGCACATCTTAACTCAACCGGCAACATTGTTGTCACTTTAAGTAATGGTGATGGCTACTTCTATTCCCGCGACATGTACACCTGGCAGCGACTCTCCGAGTCATGGTGGGCTGTCGGCAGTCAGTACTGGAACAGCAATGACTCCTCTGTCAGTGCGCTGCAGTCAACAGCTGTGGGCCCCGTCACAGCACCAGCGAAGGATGGCGTCAATGGAGACGACGCAAACGTGTCTGCGGGCATCATCCCCTTCCTTGAGCGGCACACCACGAACGAGTTCATGCTCAAGGGCCGGGCGTACACGCTCCAGCGACTCATCAAGGCACTCCTTTCCAAGGATGGATTCGAGGACTTCGAGAGCAGCGTCAGCATCGCGCATCTGGAGAATCGGATTGCCGGCACACTGCAGCTCGGATCACGAGAGGAGTTCAGGCTGTACCTCTTCATGTATGCTAAACGCATTGGTGCTGAGGGCCTTCGAGGCAAGGTTGAGGAGTTGCTCAATAGCCTTCTTGGAGGTGTACTTCAAGAGAAGAGGCAAGATAAGAACGACGAGGGCACGGGCTGGTATGGAAAGGGCGACGAGATTTGCGGCTGGGGTAGAAAGGAATTACTAAAAGGAGTTGTGATGATACTTGGTAAGCCATCCATTCACCGCCATGACTCTGCCGAGAATACCGTACTGACATGTCACCTGCAGGAAAATTCCGCGATCTACAAAGACTCACTGTGCAGTACGCACGTGTACTAGACTTGACGGTGGAGGACGATGGCTCTGGAGACGCCATGGCCCTAGAGTCCTAATTGGTATTGTGCTTGTGGGCGTGGCTGGCGTTTTGGTTCGGGCTAGCTGGTGACAGGTATGGGCGTGAGATCGAGAGCGGGCGAGGGAACAGCGCTCTTGCTGGCTTCGGCCGACTTAGTCAATGTACGGGATAAAAGGGGGCTGATGATGCCCGTGTATGTGTACTCACTATCTATAATCGATTTGACGGGCACGTAAGGGCACCGAAAATCTTCCAAGACTTTCTGGCGAGTTAAGATGATTCAACGGTGGTGATTCATATTTTTGCAAAGGCATTTCACGTCACGTTGGAGCTACGTCACGCCATGTCATATTTGTCACGAGGAGCTCAGGGGAAATAGTAAAGAGTGTCTATGAAAGCTAGTACTGATTCGTTCACGATTGATTTATGATTAACCCAAGCAAATAGCAAGTACTCCTGATCCCTGACCTGAGGGGTGAAAAAACAAAGTCGCGTATGAAAACATGTAATGTTCAGAAGGAAGGTGCGACAACCTCGCGAGATGTGTAGGTGACCGAATGTGACTTTGCTTCCAGCTGTGCCAGACCCCAACCACCATTGCTAGCGTCTATTACCCTTCCAATCCCGCAGATTGGTCTCCCAAGTTCGAGGAGCAGCAGGGCTCTTTCTACTCCCAGTCGTACTGATCGCCCTCGTCGACGAACACAAGCTTAGGGTTGCGAGCCTGAATGCCACGAACGAAAATCAGGCCCTCACGGGGGTAGTTGCCCTCGAAAGTCAGGCGCTTGGTGACGGTGAGGCAGCCCAGAGTGTACCAGAAGGGGACGAAGAAGGCCGTCTTGCGAGTCTTGGTCCACTCGGCGAAGTTGATGCGGAGCTCCTGGAGCGGAACGCCCACGAGCGACTTGAAGAAGAGGCACCAGTATTCCTTCATCCAGGCGTCCGTCATGGTGAGGTACTTGTCCTGCTTGCGGCGCGTCATGGTGACGAGCGTGACGCTCAGTGCGCGCAGAGAGGAGAGGCTGTCTCGATCCATGACCGTGAACCACACGTTCGCGGTGTACGGGTGCTTGATCTTGAAGACGTTGACCTGACCTACGAGATGACCGGCATCCTCGCGCAGGGCGCGGCAGACGCGGCGCATGGTGAGATAAGGCTTCAGGTCCTCTGTCTCCCAGTCGCGGCCGTTGGTGGTGATCTTGCCTTTTTGGGCAATGGTTGGCCCTGCCACCTCCCATCGGTCGTCGGTCTCGACATTGGGGGACACGAGGCAGAGCTTGACGATCATGTGGCGGATCTCCACGGGCAGCGCGAGCAGGGGGAATGTACCACCAGGACCAGCTGGATGGTCATGCTCGGCTGCAGGTTCGGATATCAGTATGCTGGCAATGCGGAGGGAGAAGTATCTGGATGGGGCTCCCGTACCCAGAGCAACGGCGCGCTGACCATGGTGTTTCTCAGGGGTGACGCCCATCTTGAGTTCCAGAGTCAGTGATACTTGATGTCCCCAGAGAAGGTTGTCGGTGCTTCTTTGCGAAGTTCTGGTAGAAAGGTTGAGTATCTAGGTATGTCACCTCCAATGAGTTCAGCTGAGGAAGAGGTGCTGACCACGAAGTTTGTGGAAAATTGATTCCTGTGCGTCTTTGTTTTAGACCTTTTGGTCAGGTGGAATTTCCAAAAGCTTCTGCAAGGGTCCATCAAAGGAAGGAGCCCTAATATATAAAAAGAAGACGAGTCGTAGAGAGGGAGGATGAGGACCGGAGAGGAATGCGCTGTTGTGGTGGACTCAGACGAGGTGGGCCTCAAAGGACAGACAGGGACAGCAATAGAAAGGCCCAGATCATTTTCAAATTGGCACGGCGAAAAGCCTAACGGGATGTTTCGTTTGGGTGGTGTGTTTGAGACGTCCTTGCCCGAAATGGTTTCGATGACATGAGTTGAAGAAGTCATCATGGTTTGGCAACTTCATTTGGATATTGACAGAAAGGCAGGTCATACCTCATATGGCGACCATCTGTCTTGACTTTGGACGCTGGAAAGCCTGCCTGTATAAAATGGCTGAGGAAATTACTTGGCAATATGGGTTGGCGCAGCTGATTGAAATTTCGACATGAAACATATTGGTGGGAATGAGGAGAAGTAATTTATTCTAGAGACTGCGAGGACAGTATTCCACGAAGTAAAATATCCGGAGGACTGCGAAGATGGTCATAGTTAACGCTCGAAATGAGAACAGCTCGCTTTGAATCCATCAACGCTGAGTCTAATAATGACTAATTTTCATTACTCAGGAGGGCTTGTCAGGTTTCTGAGCAACCCAAAAGTAGAAATTCAGATATCGGTGGCGTGACATGTCTTTAAGAGCGCTGCGGGCTTGCGCACCTATTACCTCGGCCTCCACTTGGGACATCCCCAGTGCCAGGAAGAGCTTCCCAGTCATTGCAGGAATGAGGTCTAAGATCGCTTCTCGGCAGTAGAGTCCAGCAACTCGAAGTGTCAGTTCTTTCGGCCATGGTCCAATGGGAACTTTCTTCACCGTAAGCGTCACATCTTGGAAACCGGCGTCCTCGATCAACGGACGGAGATGCTTGGCCTTCGCAAGATCCATGCCAAATGATTTGAAAGCCTCAGCAGCAGTCACGTAGAATTGATATACCCCATCATCTGGCGGCATAGTTCCGTCATCACATTCAGCGAAGCCGTAAATCTCTTGCATTTCTAACCACCCTCCTGGTTTGAGGGCTCTGTAAAGCGTATGTCAGCTGGTGGACAAGAATGATGAAGTAATATATGCCGATCACGAACTTGTACGCATGACTTAAGACTTTTGGGACATCCTTGAGTGTGGACGCCATCGTGCGCATATGGACCATGTCAAAATTGTTGCCATTAAGCCACTCTTCCTCTGCATCGTCCACCAAGAACTTGCAGTTAGGAGGAACCCATTGTGGTTGAATAGGAGAAAGGTCAATGCCAAGGACCTCAGCACTTGGTAGACTATCGGCCACTATATTATTTTACTATGTTAATCCGACTAAAGCTCTTGATGATGGGAAGGCCTATGAAAGGGCAACGAACTTTCAATAGCCCATATTCCTGTTACTGTACCGACATCGATAATCCTCTGCGCATTCTTATCCATTGGAGCGTAATATAGCTTTCCATTTGTGACCTCAAGCATCATCGCGTGCTTGATGTCTTCACGATTTTGCTCGGCGTCGTCGTTGGGCAGTGGGTATCGTCCATTCTTATAGCTATGAAAGCGGCGGCCGTTCTCGAAAGAGTGTTTGTATATGCTGGAAGTGATTGATGTGGACGCAGTAGAACTGGAATCTATCAATTCCAACTCATCATCCGGGACCGGCTCCGTCGCCGCCTGAATAGGCGCATCGGTAGTCGTTGTAGTATTGTCTCTGTCCGCTCCCATGCTCCTAGATATCTTCCAGTAGTCTATGTGATGGCTTAAGCACAAGTTGACTGGTCGGCGCGTTGATTCCGCTCTTGAGAACACTGCTCCGGGCAGATGTCAGACGGCTCCTACAAACCCCTCCGAGATCTTGGACACAGCATGACATGAAGGGAATTGACCCGCCCCTGTCACTTTTATGACCGGCCATGTGTCCCAACCGGTTAAGCTGTCATTTTCTAGCGGCGGGTATACCCTCGCTTCCGTCTTTGTACGTGCGTCTCGCATACATGATTGGCGCGGGAGCATATCCCGTATACAGCATGTGGAGAAGAAGTATTGTGCGAACAAAATCGCTGAACCTCGCGCTGACTAGCTCTATCTGGAGGGTATTGCAACGTCACCACTGATCTGAAGAGTCAACAACAATGGGGGAGGTAAGCTTAACAACTCATTCAGGACAAAGTTTCGTACGCGGAGGAAAGTGCTCCTAGAAAGACTGAATGGCCACCCTGACAAGTAATTAACCTTCAACAGTGTGCATTGGACCACATATCTTCTGCATTCTTTGTGCCGTACAGGAATAACGCAAAGAAGTCAATAGTTGATCTTACATTAGTTCTGCTAGCCTTATATTGCATACTAGTTACGATTTAATTAGCTAGCTATTGGTGCTGACATCGGTCACATACTTCAAACTCTCTTGGTCTTGACAAATGTAATAAAAGAAATCGAAGAACAAATACTCAACATCTGGAGCCATGGTTCTTGTCTGGACGGGTATTTAACCCATAATAATGACAGTTACTAGGCTTTCTGACAATGTGTAGGCGAGAGTCCCTATAGAATCTAAATTTTGCATCACTCCAGTATAGCTTCCGCCGACCGGGCGAAATGATCGGGTTTCCGGGTTCTGGCTTTGACCAACCAGGGCCCAAAACACCCACAAACAATACCTTGATTGTTGATATTTCGGTGAGCATGCACTCGGCCGACCTGCAAATAACTGGGATGTAAAGAGGTGCCGCAGCTCGGTTCGAGGGTTCTCATCTCAGTGAAATGCCTTCAGACGCTCCCAATCCTAACCCGAGCCTGGGGTCTTGGAATCCTAGGTGGATATAACTTCTCACAAATCCCGCCTAGCTTTCGTTCTGTCCTCTCTGATACGCATTTCATTCACAAAAACAAGCGGCTGAGTTGTACACGGCCAACTGACATCAGACTTTCTCATCAATATTTGCCTAATATCAATATGTCCGCCTCGACAAGCAATATCAGAGAGCTTGAAAAACCTGAAACCGGTCATGCTGGAATTATATCTCAGAATTGCCCGTATCCTCAGCAACGAAAGGCAAATGTGGAGAAAGACGGTCCGGACCAGGAGACGACAATAGAGCTGCCAAGGCCGGAGGCCAACGAGTACCCAAAAGGTCTGACTCTGTTTTTCCTAGTTTGGCTCTTTCTTTAGGTACCTTCGTGATGGCTCTTGATAATGTATTTTTCTCTGCACTGTCAACTGCATAACTTGGTGACGCTAACTCCTTGCAGCAGACCATTGTTGCGACGGCTGTCCTGAAGATTACAGACGAATTCCACGGCCTTGGCGATGTGGCATGGTATGACTCAGCCTATTTCATGACAGCAGGTGGCTTTCAGCCGTTATGGGGAAAGGCTTACAAATATTTCGATTTTAAGACTGTCTACCTCGTTGCGTTTGCCATCTTTGAAGTTGGCAGCTTGTTCTGTGCCGCGACCCCTAACTCGGCAGCTTTTGTCGTTGGAAGAGCCATCGCCGGCATTGGCGCCGGTGGTATAGTTTCTGGCGGTTACACATTGCTCGCATTTACCGCCGAGCCAAAAAGACGTCTGATGTTCACCGATGTCATCGGGGCAGCGTACGGCACAGCATCTGTTGCACCTCTCAGGGGCGGCGCTTTTACAGACCGCATCTCGTGGCGGTGGTGTTTTTATATCAACCTGCCACTTGGCGGCGTTTCCGCCCTGATTATCATCTTCTTCTTCCACACTCTCAAACAAGCAAGACCTGCCAAGGCTATCTTCAAAGGAAAGCTACTGCAGATGGATCCGATTGGCGTTGCTTTGCTGGTGGGTGCCGTCATTGCATTTATTGTGGCCATGCAGGCCGGTGGCCAGACTGATTCGTGGAGATCTGGTAAGGTTATCGGTCTCCTTTAGTCTTTATGCTCATCGTCCTTGCTTTTACGGCCTGGGAGCTATGCAATCGAGAGTGAGCCATGATCGCTGATAAAACTTCGAACAGTCTGGGTCAATGCCGCGTACAACTTTTTCCTTACTTCTGGGTTCTTTACAATTATCTACTACTTGCCAGTCTTTTGTCCTACACGAGTCTGTCTATTTTGGTCGGTGTCTGATTTGTATTGTCATTGATGCTACTCTTTGGTTTCGAAGGTACAAAATCCATCAGGTACGATGATCGTCTCGTTTCTACTATTGTATTGTACTGAAACCTGGTAGACCAAGATCCCTAGTCAATATGAGCAATGGAAATGCGGAATATCTGTTATGATCATCCACTTCCTTGTCGAGCTTCCGGAAATCTGGTAAGTCTTCAAGCCCCAGCCTGCTGATCACTCATTGTGTTGACAGGTACTTCCATCCGACCGCGCAATACTTCGACCTCCCGACAAGTATTCCCTTTCCCCCAATACGAAAAATTATCCTGCAAATGATTGCGTTCTTTATCATGGAAGATACCTGGCATTACTGGACACATAGGGCGCTTCACGCCTCCCCTCTTGTGTATCGAACAGTCCACAAGCTACACCACAAATATTCGGCTCCTTTTGGTCTTGCGGCCCTATACGCATCTCCGTTAGAAACTATTATACTAGGCCTTGGGACAGTGGGGTCTCTAATTCTGTGGTGTGCGATCTTCGGTGACTTGCACATAATTACTATGTACGTTTGGATTATTCTCCGCCTACTGCAGCTGTTGACGCACATTCTGGTCACGACTTTTCATGGAGTTTGCATAAATTCCTGCCTTTCTGGGCCGGCGCCGCATACTATGACAAGTATTATGAGTAGTTTATCGGTAATTATGCTAGTAGCTTTAGATGGTGGGATTACTATCTTGGTACTGAAGCCAAGACAGCCTCTAAGGCGGATCGAAAACTGGTTTGTATGGAAGACAAAGCATTGTAGAGCATTAATGTTCGGTTAAGACAAGGTTTAAAAAGCTGCATTGAATTTATTGGTGTTGGGAACAATTATCGACATGTAAAATGTACCGCACAGTATCTAGAGGGTTGCAAGTTGCTCTATAGTATCTCTAATTGAATGAACTCTCGCTCCAGATGATTTCTCCCAAATAAACCCAACTCTTGTAATACGATTTGCAGAAATCTTCTCTAAGTATATGCCTCGATAACAACGCTTACCAAGAGAGGGTTACTCATCCCTAGATGTGAAGCAATGGAAGGATTTGCACGTGCTAGTAGTCCATACTAATGCGGGGAGTAGTAGATAAGTGCGTCTTTCCTAGGCAACAACCGACAGCAGCGGTTCAAGTCTTGGTTTCTCACCATCTTGCGCGATCTACTGAAATCAGCATGCCTTTCACGATTCGCAACATAATAGCGCTTTCCTTGGCCATTACACGAGGTGTATTGCTTGCACAACCCCTACCTGACACAGAAATCGAGCTATTACCCGAGTTTGAAAGCCTTGAAAGCCAGATCTCGGACAATACTCAGTCCAGAAGGAACACTCTTCCAGATTGGAGCTCCTGCAATTACTCCTCTGATTCACGATGCACGTGGGGGACTGTAGTACGATATAACAATAAGACGTATGATCCGATCACGTTCAAAGGCGGCTATAATGACAGCTTCGGTAAGGATACACTCTTTTCAACCGTGATAAGGCGCTAAAGAAAGCAGCTATTGCATTCTACTTAACCGCCGATGCTGCGTAAGGCGTCTCTTCAAGCATTGAGTCGCATTGCGTCTTTTGTTTCTAATGCTATCACTTTAGTGTCTCAGCCGCTCAAGCAAGGAATGGATCATTGATCAATGTTGCTAGAATTGAAGGAAGTACCGCCTACAAGGCTCTCATGTTACAGATTCAAGACGATTTGAAGGGAAACAGGTGAGTTAGACATGATACCCCAGATTTAGACTACTAACGACGATTGCTCCTCAAAGGTCTGAATATTATGCTGAACCTTTTTGGAATTGCGTAAGCTGTTATACGCATAGCCCGTCATACAAAGCGTACTACCACCGATTATCTAATTACTTTAATCGAGTCGACAATCGGCCAAATCTGACGAATCCCATACCGATCTTCAAAGATACCTTGTCCTCGCTGCGAACTGCTACTGAACAAGTACTCGGAGCCAAGATGAACAAGACGAACGACTACTGGATTCAGGGACGGATTGCATTAGATATTGGCGCGCCATGGGAGCTAAACTTCACGTATTCTCAGGGTCTGATGATTGCGATGCACGACATTGACATGGCAGATGCGAGGCCCTTGGGGCGATATACATTGCGGATGATTCCTAATATCGGTTGGTCAAGCCATTGGAACGACCAGCGTGATCAAGGCGGTGAACAGGGGACAGAGCGCGCTTTCGAATATGCTCGTAGAATGGTGGAGATGACGGAATACAATCCAGACTACCGCGGGGGGTATTTCAGTGAATGTGGAACGTCAGAAGTCGCAGCACAAGAACGTGCTAGGCAAGAGATGATTGCAAATGGGACCTGGGTGGAGCCGCCACGAAAGGGGTTGCTGGATATTCCCTGCGAAAGTCTCAAAACGTGTTTACGGCCGTTTCCATGGGAGCCTCCTGACCACGGTGATGAGGCGTATTGGAGGCGATACTTTGAGCGATTTCCCTCGCACGAAGTAGATTCGCCTCCAGGATAGTACACTTTTCTATATTGCTATTAAATGAAGAGATATGTGGGAATGAGTGACGGTGTTGCAAGTAAGTAAGGCTAGTTTTCGTTCCACAGTGGTCCGAAAGAAATACTACAAATTAGGGTTTGGTTTTGGCACACAACGTCCACCTATTCCTCTGGGTCGCGCCCTCCCCTGGCTTGCATGGCCATTTTCCAATCATGGTCAGATTCTAAGTCGAACTCCAGTGGTTTCGTGATTGGCACAATAGAAATGCCCTTCTCCTCGAGCAGTTTCAGTCTTGCAGCAGTGACGGGCTTTGACTTGTTGATGCTGTATATCTTGATCCTGTGACATGAAGAAGTCACATGCAAATCCCAGTTCCTGACTGCTGTTAGCATAGAAAAGAAAGCGAGAGGACCAAGAGTGCCTTGGTCTGGAGAGATAGAACATACCAAGCAGAGCGAACGTAGGTTGGTTGAGTATTGAGAGCATTGTCCCATGTTCGCACACAAAACTCTAGCCATCCTTCAGCGTCCACGGGAAGATCGATTTCCCATAGCCTCCAGGCATGATAATACTTCTTGGTCATTTTTTCCCATGGAGCCTCGTACCAGATGCTTCCGCCGTCGCCACTTACCTCAACTCGGATGGGCCAGTGACCTCCGCCGCTGTAAGCCCACCCTCGCAGTTTGATCTTTCCATCGTGAATGATCTGATCTTTATCTTGAGGAGTCATGATGGCGCTCGAGACGGGCATGTCTTGTATGCTGAAGCCGTTGCTGTACATGGCGTTCTGCTTACCGACTTGCGGGGTGTAGTACAAATATTCCTTGCGTTGTACCGGCGCAAGCGACGGCTCTGAGATGGCGTCGATACGATACAGCCATTTGCAAGAGCGAGCTCCGATATAGCCGAATACAATGGCGCGGAGAGGATACCCATGTATTTTTGGCAAAGGCTCACCGTTCATCTCCCATGCTAATAGCACCTCATCAAGTTTGACCTTGCGCCAAGGAACAGACACCAAGTAATTCATGACATGACCTTTCTTAAAGTACGTGTCGGCGCCGAAAAACTCCAGGTGCCCAGCCCCAGCTTCGGGTGTCAATCCACCGCAGTATTTGATGACTTTCTTCAGCGAGACCCCTGTCCACCGCGCAGTGCCAATCGCACCTTCACCCCATGGCGCATTGATGAGCTCGTCACCATCTCCAGGATATTCGTGGATTTGTTCTATGCGACGAGTACCAGAACACTGCAGGGAGACAACATTTGTTTGGCGAGGGAATATGTTCTCATTCTGCAGTTCTGAGAGGCTGATCTTTCTCGGATTCTTAACAAAACCGCCAATCTCAAGGAAGAATTCGTTCCCGTTAATCTCTGGTACACCGCCGTGGTTGCGAACAAAGAAGTCCGGGTTGCTTGTAATCTCTGATTCTACTAAGCGTTTCTGATGAGAGTCAACTTCCTGCATCTTCGCATAATCAACGAACTTCGCTTACTCTTGGGGGCTCTCCATTATAGGGGAATTGAAGCACATGGATCATGTCAGGAGATTTTTCTTTCAACACATATCCCCAGCTAACATCTGGTATGTTGGAAATAGTCGGCCCCAGGGCATAGTGATATTGTTTCCATCGTTCACCGGAGAGCAAAGGATTTCTCGGCGGCGGTGTCTCAAGCTGGAATTCGGGTGGCTTATCTGCCCATCAGCTATATTCATTTCTGACAGTACAGATTGCACTAACATCCGGAAAATCATACTGTTTGAGAATGTTTTCTGCCTTCTCTCGTTTCTGAGGATACTTCTCCCATTCTATATATCCCTTCCAACCTTCCAATTCCTCTTTGAAATACGGCACTTCCCCCTTTTGCATGAAGGGAATGGCATGAGGTTCTGCGGGAGCCATGGCAGATGCTTGACGTTGGTCGACTAGATGAAAACCGGATAACTCAGAAGACTTCTTTGTTTCAAATTCGGCGATTCGGAAAATTTTATATAGTTGTTCTAAAGTCCCGCTGAATATTCCGATAATTTATGGACTGGACATTTGAATAGGCTATCACTGGGCTCAGAACTGCGTGCCAGCAGATAACAACATGGCCCTCCTATCCGATCGTAGAGAGCCCCGCGTTGAGACTGAGATCATTGTCGTCATCATCACGGGGATGCAGGCAATGTGGAGCACTTTATTGCCCGAACCTATATGACTGCAGTCACTATACATGGGAAACAAAGCTCATTCGCCTACTCTAGTGACAGACCACATGCATTGATGGTCAATGAGTCAGCGACAAGCAGCTTCCATGAGATATCTTTCAGACAGCGGGCAGGGTGTTGATAAGGAAATCTCGCACCGATCAGACTTCGAGAGTGGTGCTTGACTACAATGCCGGGCGAGGTGTCTTCATAGGACATTGGTTGGATTCTAGGTTGACAAGACTAGAAAACAACGTTACGCCAAAATGATCGTCATTGCACAAGTTACTGGGGATGAACGAGACACTCAAACTACAGTCTACTGTTGATCTGATCTGTGCAATGACAGGACAATCTACGAGATGACAGTTCAGTGGCCAAGAAATGTAGCTACTCAAACTCGAACACCAGGATGATTGGCATTTTGTTGTGCACTTGTGAACCTATTAATTGTCAATAAGCAATAGGTGAAGCAGCACTCTGATAAAGAAAGAAGAAGAAAGGGCGTGTGTTACAACATCCTCGAATGCTCTTAATTGCCAGCCATGAGCTCAAATCATCATTGACTTGCGCGGCTATTGAGCATCGAATCTCAATCTCTCACTAAGGAGATGTAAATACTTGATTAGTCAAGGCGTTTCAATTGTAAGGTTGTACGTACTGTGGTCATAAACCGACCTCTTGGCTAGAGCGATCGGCAAGTGCTTAAACACACCAGGCAGATGGTGCGTCGGCTAGGTGAGCCAGTCATTCTCAGCTACATTAGTGTTTGTCTAGAACACCAAAACGCCTCGCAAGGAGGCAGTGCTGTACTGACGCCACAAATCACCTGCTCATCCCCAGGTTCAGCTTCCGAACTCATAAAAAGTAGCTCATGCTTCAATGTGCCTTCAACAATGCCTAGAACTCCAAAGCGAATCGGTAGTTCTGACGTGCAGGTTATCGTCGCCTAAATGTGGAAGGTCAAGGTCTTGAAGAACCGCCGAGCCAGAGCATCAACGGAATTAGCCTTAGCAGGATCGGCCGGCACTCCCGACTCAGGGATCCAAGCGCTAGACAATTCACGCGGCTCCTCCGCTGCCATCTCCGAGCTGATTTCCAGCATTGGATTTGCTCTTGATCAGCTCGACTATGACGGTCAGTCATCTGTTTGCTTTCATCACATTATGATAACTGAGGCAGGATACAAATCGCAGAGGAGCCAGGAGACTTTCTCCGTCTGCAGCTAGAGCGACTAGCTGTGGAAGGCCTAAAGTATCAGAATTCCCGGGTCACTGAAAATCTGGGAGAGCAATGGACATGGTAAGCGAATGTGATTGTCCGGAGATTCATATTGGGGCTAATGAACATTTTGTAGCGACGCTGCCCTTTCTCGACTGCTTTTTGCATCATGCCTCTGCTCGGCTCGCGTATATGAAGCCGAAAGTGTAGAGTGTTTTCAAGGTCTTGAACTCCGTAGAGTCAAGTATTTAAACCCTTCCATCGATGGTACGTTGAAAGCAGCCGCGTTCTGGACGATTGAACGAGGAAGTGGGTTTCCATCTTCTGGGAAGGAGCTGATCATTTCTATTCGCGGCTCGGCGAGGAAGACTGATCATATCGTAAATCTGAATGATGTTCCAAGAGACACGCACTCTCTATTCGTGAGTAAATAGAAATACTTTTGACATTTGGCTACTGGGCAAAGTATGAAAGGAAAGCTAAATATCACGCAGGTATTGGATAACTCGGTTCCAGTCTATGCTCATGCTGGGTTTATGAACTCTGCCAAAAGTCTACTTCCGGAGATTACCAAAGAAATTTCACGTCAATTGTCCGATGATGGATCTATAACACACATTATTTTCACCGGCCACTCCGCTGGCGGTGCGGTCGCTTCACTGTTATTCTTGCACTTTGTACATCACTCACATATATCATGTAGGAATCGATCTGGTCTCTCGTCTGACTCAACTAATGATTAAAATAGTATCAACGACTCTTTCTCTCCTCACATTCGGGTCAGCACCAGTCATTAGCCAAAGTGTAACCAAGTCAGCCATGAAGCAACCAAATGTTGGATTAATGCTGGCAATCGTCAACGAGAATGATATGGTAACTCGCTCTGATGGACCCTATATACGCTCCGTAGTCGATCTATACAGGTCTCGATACATGCTGCCGGCGGGAGCTGATGACCTCGTTAATGAGAAGAACAGGGAACATCGAAAGACGGGCCATGGGAGCCTTGCACTACAAGAAACTTGGCGACTTCCAGCTCCAGCCTTTTATCTTGTGGGTGACATAATTGTTCTCGGAGAACCAGCTGTTATTGATGGAGAGCCACCATCTATACCTGCAAAGGCAGTTACTACGGCCAAGAAATCCTTGCTGGCTCTCAATGTCACTACGGAGACCTTTGGCACATTCTTGTTCTGTGACATCGAGGTTCATAGGCGGCGTGCATACCTGGAGCGACTGGAGTTAATTTGGAGAGAATCTATTCGAGAGTCGCAGAATGACATTGATATGGGACGGCAATGGTTAGACGATGTTCTCTCTTGGAGTGATACAGATGGCAGTCTGACAGAGGACTTTTGTTCTTTGTTGACAGCATCGACATTCTCATCCTCCATTACCTGACTTCATAAATTAAAATGACATTTATTGTAATCTTCATCGTACTGGTAACGGCTGCTTTTTCCTCCTCGCTGTCTCAATGGCTCTGAAATACGCAACTTCAGCATCAACATCGCGGGCAATACTTTCCATCTTGACGAGACCGTTCTCGTCTTTCGCGGGATGCTCTAGTGCAGACAATAATGCTTCACAGTCCCAACATCCACAATTTCTGTATTCCTTCCCAAAGTGCACCCGAAACAGCTTCTTGGTAGTGTCGAACCCGTCATCGAGGGTATCCTTCACAATCGTATCGTCATGGTTGATGAATCTGCCCGCCCAGAGTTGCGTTCCTCTAAAGTACATTCGTGGACTACACTGATGTGTGTGCCAGGCAAGATCAATATCCAATGTCGGAACGAACATCGTCGTTGGATATAGCTTCATGAGTCTCAGAAACTTAGAATAGCGGTCAACTGCCCGATTCAACGTTCCCGGTAGCCCAGGACTGCGAATCCACATATGAGCATTCATTTTATCCACGAAAGATGCCTGGCGGAGGACAGCGTCGCGGAGCTGAACAGCGAGGCCAGAGTCAATGAGGTGCAGTGCGTCAAAGTGTCTTCGAACTTGGTCTTCCGCCGGTAACGCAGCAACCCAGTCCGGAATTCTCGGGTGGTCTTCAAGCGTTAACGAAGCCATAGAGCCAACCAGCTCTGAATTGAACTCTTCGTGACTAGCCTTCCAATCAGAGAGCTCTTCTAGCAAGTCCGATGATAGACCTGTTCCCTCCTCGAAAGTTTCAGCTGCTTCCTGTGGCATCACAAACGTCCAGTCACTATTATTGATCGCTTTGTGAACTCGGCTCCATGGGAATTGCCTTCTGAAGAATGAACCCTCTCCACAGTGCACACGAAACAGCCTCGGATTGAGAAGGAATGCGTGCCAAACCATGAGCACATCAACTGGAGGGGTTTTATATTTCGAGACATCGCGTTCACACAGATCTCTCCAAATAAGAAATCGTATGACCGCAATTTCAATAAATTTCGGCCACTTGACTTGCCGGCGTTCCCATAGGGTCTGATCTTTAAGTAGTTTCGTGTCGCCATGTCTTCCCGTCTTTTGTTGTGGATTGGGTGAAATTCCGAAAACTCCATCGACAGTTTCCGAGCGGAGGATCTTTTGTCGCAAGACGTAGAATGTTTCTAGGAGTTCAAGATGTGTTGCACACTCTGCAATATTTGGAAGTCGTGTCATGTCTGAACTGGTGGTAGGCACGGCAGTGTCGAGAATGTTGAAGATATTTGGATCTGGCACACGTGGTTCATCCTCGGCTGCCTTTGCTTCTGTATACCTTGGGTATACGATTCCTTTGTGATAAGAGTCTAGAGCCTTCTTTCCGAGTGCATGAAGAGAGGTTTTGTGATTTGGACATTCAAGAGCCATTGTGAGCTGTGGTCGGGATCCAACCAACACGCCTTTTCCTTCAACCGCGAACCGAGAAATTGGCGGTTTAGCTTAAACGTACTGAATATTTTCCAGATTATGAAGCCTACTGAAAGCTGAGTCTAGAGCTGGACAATGCCGCTCATGTAAGCCCAACGAGGCTCTAGGTGGAGCCGGTTTTCAGGTAAGGAGGCTTGTACATGTACCACGTACATTAGTGCATCGGCTCGGCTAAAAGATCCAACACAGCCCCGCGGACTATTTGCCAAGGCATTTCTCCTTGCAGATATATCGCTTCTTGCTTTGAGGCTCCCAGAAACCGGTCATATCTTGGCTGAAGGTATGCCATGCCACTTGACTCCCATTCAATCCCTTAGATGAACACACCATACGCCGCCGTCTAAAATGAAGAACAGTGATCTATTCTTTCTTTTCTTTACACTTCCAGCAGTTGGTGCAATTCTCCTTTCAGTATGGGTCTTCCCGTGGGTTCCTCGCCTTCGATTTTACAGCTTAATACCATATGCTTTTTTTGGTGGGTTTGCCATTCATTTGTACAGCAATATCCGAAGCCACCGCCTGGTTGAAGGCCTTGCCGAGTTAAAACATGTTCATGTCAGCATGGGAATCAACGGGGTTGTGGTTAGTATTACCATGTCCCTCAATAAAGCCCTCACTGAGTTCCTGTTCAGGGAATTCTGGCCGCAGCTTGGACCTTCATAGCGGCAATCTACTTAAGAAAGGTTGGCAAAGAGCCTCTGCGTAGTTACTATGGCGATACAACTAGAAATCAGATGAGATGCTTTTATTTCTTCTTAATCGACCTGGTAACGTTAGCATGTCTCATCACTGCAGCAATTTTCGGCTTCAAATTTCTACCGCACGATGTTCGACGATGCGGTTCCTTGACAGAGAGCCAAGTAAGACTATTCAGTGCTATTGGAAACTCGATAAAAGAAACTCCAGAAGGTGGCTGCAGGCGAGCATTTGCAGTGGAGATTCTGGACATTGTCACGATGTAAGTACTGACTTCAACATTTCGGCCACGACTGAACTAGAACTGACAAGACTTCTGGGAAACAGTATTCTTGTAGGATTTCAGTGTCTTCTCCTCGCAAAATATGTAGTCCTCCCACCGCCTCTTCGAGCAACAGTGTTCTTCATCATTCGTATCGCGCAGAAGGCCACAACCATCTTCACGTTTTTCGGACGCTTGGGTTCTAGATTGCTGGGAAAGAGATCTCAGTCATTGCCTACCGAGTTGAAGTCGTGTTGCACAGCAAAGGCGAAAAGGGAGTGCTGGGCATGCACCAAATCCATCTGTAATGTAAGTTTACAAGAAAGCTACACTCCTGCTATTCATATCCGAAACCATAGAATGCTTGCTTAGCTTCCTTGAAGGATTGCCGCGTCCTAAAGAAGGGTATTCGTATTCCACGAACCACAAGGCATGCAGAAAACTGCTATAGCATCTGCACAAAGTGTTACCTTTTCCGCTCAAACATTGACGCAGCCCCTCTCAAGTCGACGTGGCACTCGGAAAAGATGGCTTTGCAACACTCATCCTGCTCCCCTTCAGGATACACCAACATGCTGAAAGATGTCGAACTGTGCCCTGAATGCGCAGTATTGAATGATGAAGAAGTGACTATTCTTAGAGAAGATAAAGAGAGGCTGCTTATTGCACAGTTGACGAAGAGAAGATTGCGCTGTTCAACTTGTGATGCTGATCTCCCAAAGAAGCGTCGGCGATGGTGGATATGCGAAAGTTGCACGCAAGAATGCCACTGGGCTGGGCATAGGACATGATATTATGGATATTGAGTGTGACTATTCTCAAAGCTGACTGAGCTTTAGGGAGTTGAGTACTGGGAAGGCATCATATCATGTCTAGGTGACATTCCAATCCCGGTGCCAAACAGTTTGGAGAATAATTTCAATATAGCAGGACGCATTGGAAAATTCTCTCCAATCTCAACAAGCAGTAGTGTTTTGAATTAAGCTTCATCAGTCAATATTAGCTAAAATATCCCTATGGGTCGCCCGAATCTAGATATGGACACATGTTTCAGAGGCCTGCATCCCCGAAGAAACGTTAATTTGGTTTGAAGATGAGCAACAATCGCGAATCGAATGGTCATTGCCTGAGTGGCTTCTTATGTGCTCGTTGCATCATACTGTACGAGAACAGAGTGACCGTGCTCGATTCAACCTGGCCTACAGGCATGAATTTCTCGTGGTGATCAGAATGTCGTATCAAGTTCGGATGAACTCTCAATCTACGCAATGACTTAGGATCGACGATTGACCATGGAACTCATTCATGCCTTCGAACCTGGTATAACCTGACGAGAACTGTCTTTCGCCTGAAGCCAGGTTTCGGCAGTGGGTCTAATGAGCCTTGCTTGATTCGATACCGCAAGCTGGTCTCAAAAGGTCTCATATTTCTCTGTGATGAGCGACATATTCTGTGACTTGCGGCGCAGTCAAGTTCCCTGACATACCGCCGTGGAGCATATAGTAAGCGACCAAGTCGGCGCGCAATGAAGCAGAGATGATGTGTCGCAATTTGCGAATCACTAATAATAAGTTGAGGCGGTAGCGTCGAACACATCGTGGGGTACGATGGTGTTTGATCACCACTGATGTAACCGGTAGCACCCCTGTATCGGATCCACGCGCCAAGGAACATCACCAATAGGATCCACCGTTAACGCAGGCCCGTGTGAAATGTCCTGGACATTTGGGACGTTTCATCCACTAGGGAGACTGCAAAAGAGCGGCCTGCACGCCAAAAGTTGCAAATTTGAAGCATCCAGCCCGGGTCCACCTCCCTTAAAGACCCCTGTGCAGCAAGGTCTTCCACGGCATTCTTGACAGCAAGAACAATAAGCGATCCAAACTTTTGTTTGAGATCCTTGGCCGTTGCTCACAGAGAATACAATTCAGGAAAGGGGCAATTTGGCATCGAGACGTTGGCGAGGCGCTTTGATACGGCTGGAGGGATCTACATGGACGTCACCCCGGACAATGCTACAAACATCGGACAGATACACCATGGCGCCTTCAACCCTTTTGCCGCCCACTCTTGGTATAAGTCAGAGATGTTCTGCTCAAATTGAGTTCAACACATCAGCGCCGGTCTCTTTTCTTTCTTTCAAGCTTGGACTTCTGTGGAGCCAACTTCATTTCTACCGTTCATTGTCTTGATTTGTTACTGTCAGAGGTAAATATCTTCAACCCTGAAGCTTTGCCAGAAGCATTAACTAACAATTTGAAGCTGTGCTCTTTACCCTCTTTCTAGACTTCTTTCTTTGTATACAACAATCCATCTTTTTCTCAATTCTTTTACATATTCTCAACATGAAGAGCTTCAGCATGGTCCTGGCCCTGCTCGCGGCCTCAGCGACCCATATCACAGCGCTTCCCACTGGAAACGAGGGTGCCGTCGAGGTCTATGCCCGCGAGCCTGTCGATGCGCCTGGTTAGTCCACTCATTCCTCTAGGAAGGGTTTCAGGCATCTTGGCTGATTTGCTATAGCCTACAATGGTCCTCTATTGGATGTTCGCGAGGACGATAGAACCGACTTGTCAAAGCGACACCACCAGGGCAAGAAGAAGCAGCAGACTAGCAACAACAACGCAGCTACAGGTAACGCGACAACTGCGGCTACCGGTGGTAGGAGAAAGCACAAGGGCAACAACAAGCGTGAAGTTGACCTAGTCGGCGAGGCAGCTCTCGAAGCCAGGCAGTATGTTCCTCAAAGATTGCTTACCCACAGACCCAATCAATAGCTAACAACGAGCAGCCACCAAGGCAAGAAGAAGCAGCAGACCGGCACCAATGCTGCAGCTACTGGCAATGCCACAACCACTACTGGTGGAAGGCGCAAGCATAAGAACAACAACAACAACAAGCGGGAGGTTGAGCTTGTTGATGATGCAGTTCTTGAGGCCAGACAGTATGACGCCCCCCACAAGAAATATGGTATCAATTTGAACAAATGTTCTAACAAAACACAGTCACCAGGGTAAGAAGAAGCAGCAAACTGGCACCAACAACGCCGCCACTGGTAATGCTACCACCGCAGCCACTGGAGGGCGCAGAAAGCACAAGAACAACAACAGATCTCCGTTCGCTGACCTGAGCGAGGAGGTCTCTGCTGTCTTTGCTCGCCATCACCAAGGCAAGACGAAGAACAAGGGAGGCGCAACTGCCGCAGCTACCAACGGCACCACTACCACAACCGGTGGAAGACGCAAGCATAAGAACAACAACCAGCGCGATCTCGAGACTCAGCTGTTTGACGAGGCTGAGATCGTTGCCAGACAGTATGTAGCTTGGTACTCCTTTCCTGGTATACATATGCTAACAAATTCCGTCCAGCCACCAGGGAAAGACCAAGACCAAGGGCAAGAAGACCAAGACAACTACTACCGCCACTGCTGCTACTGCTACCGCGACTGTCTAAGGCCTCGGGGCCAGTGACATGTCGGAGTTAGTATCGTGCTAGGGAGCGAAATGCCTTCTAACACGGCTGGTGATCGGGAATTGTGTGCGTTTTCTTCTGTGGTTCTTCAATGGTAGGGCGTATGAGGCTATAGATGGATCATAATGGCATCAACTGTGTATACAAATAAAGCTTGCCAAGTTGGTCTAAGCAGTACAAATAAAGGCTGGCCGGATCATTCTGGCAGGTAGACTTGCGTTATGTGTGTGTTGCCGGTACGTGATCGTGATAGGTGGTGAACTCACGCAATATGCCATGTTTAGTTTCGCGCTGTAAAGGGGAGCCTGCTCACTTGACAGGGGTCTGATTGGATTAGTAAGAGATGCTCGCTGCTTTCGATGCAGAGTTGTCAAGTCTTTGGACAACTCATTTCTAGTATGAACTCGGGGGATCCAACTCGGTGTGGGTCGCTGAAAGACCTGCTTTCAATGGCTGGTTTAGCCGACCAGAGGCTGAAGAAACTGCTCGATCTTGGTCATTTTGAACCCCTCACTCTACTTCGTAATCCATTCTTGTTCCATAAGACAGACTAAATCCAATTGGAAAATATTGGCGTCAGCGAGCCATCGCCCCGGTCGCCGAAAGCCGAAACAAGCAATACCAAGAGAAATGCCTTGAATGCCTAGCGATTCTCCTTGGGCGGTGGCAGTGTAGTGCTAAATGTCGAGCTACTCTAGCAGTTTCAAATGCGAGGCGTCCTCAAATGGCTCTCCCAAGCCGATGCTAGTGCAACAACACAAAGCTTGAGGTCAGCCGCAGGCTTGCCAAGTGCGGATATGGCCGCCTCCCCACATTCCTGTAGTCCTTCCTACAAGTTGAAACGTCAATGGGGACTTTCCCGTTGAATCTCACCAGTTCTTGTTATCTTCGAATTATTGATCCTTATACTTACACGCGAAAGCAATTTTGGCAACGACGAATACTATAGTGAAGGAACTGTTGTCAATGCCGTCTTTACTTTCATGGTTTGCACCGCAAGGCTCTGTGCCAAATATTAGCTCCCGGAAGAACATCACAGAAGCACCAAACTTTGGCCGCGAAGAAATTGGTCCGGCTCATGCCCATCTTCGCGATGAGCTCTTACACATGTATTGGGCAGGGGTAAGGAGGGAGATCGCGCATATTGTTTTAACGTTGAGACGATGGCAAGGTTCCAAGGAGCTTAGCGACACAATCATTCCTGACGAAGAAGATCACCTCATTCACGGCTTCGACACGTTTTTAGACCAGGTCAGCCACAGTTCACGAAGATTCGCACATCGATATAATGAAACTGTCGATCCGGAGAAACCCGCGACGGGTTTGCCTAGCTATACTGAAGCTCTATCTGACCGTGGTTGGGATATGTTAGCTGAAATGAATAGCACGATTGTGAAGGAAATGGTTCGACTTGATCTCGAAGATACTCAAAGGCTTGATGTTTTACGGAGACGGGTAAAGATGCTACTCCAGGCTGCACAGTTTCTCGATATGGACAAAGTCATCGAATATCGACAGCCCGAGAAACTCGTATCATTTTGGAAGCGGCCTGCCACTCCTCAGTTGACGATCAAATCATTCGACAAGACAAATATGCCGATACTGTCTCCGGAGCACTGTGCCATCTGTCACAGCATCTTGCGCGGTTCGATGTTTCAAAATGTGCAGACACCGGAGACTATGCTCTGCGAAACTTGTTACAGGCGCACGAACTATGGGGATCCTTATTACGAGAAGATCAACAAACATTGCTGTCTGAACAAGAGGATTGATTGTCAAGATAGCCAGAAAATTTGCCTCTGTCCGTCTGTCACTCGATTTGATGAATCTGGATCCAAAGCCCTATTCCCGGTGGACGAATTATCAGAAAACAATACTCATCTAAACCCACGCGGCACTCCAGGAAAGCTGAGGTGTGGTCTTTATGAACTCACGGATCTGGTAGCCGAAACCAAATTCGCTTCGACACGTCTCAATAGCGACAAGCGAACAACGCTCGGGCAAATTCAACGAGAGGACGCAGCTGAGGAGCAAGAGAGGCTCGACAAGGCAGTGAAATTGAAGGGTCGGAAAGCACGACCCAACAAGATTCATGGATCTAGCCTTGTTGACCCTGCAACGATGACTGCTGAATTCGGACTATCATACGGTGTTACAGACGAGTCCTACCAAAGCATCCCGTTCTACCTTCGACCGATTACAGACAGATATCCATACGGCAACGTTCACATGGCTTTAAGGATCGGTCCTCTCGTGATCGAAAATGGTGTGGAGAAGTAGGTCGATCTGGGGTCATGATATTTATTTTGCATCTCTCTAAAGTTGTCGTTTAGTACACGTGGAGTGCTTATCACCAGCCGAGATCCTCCCAGCCTCCAGGTTCTCCGTGACGCCTCTGATGATATCGACCGCAGCCTCATTCTCTCAGGTTCGACTGAGCGTACATTATACTCGCAACAACGTCCCAGGATACCAAAGCGCTATAAAGCGATCATGAAGCAAGTTGTAGGCGGCGCTTTCTCCGGATTCTTTGATGAGAGTCAGGAGAACGAGATTATTGATACCGTCATACACGAAACAAGCCGCCTCAAGGACGGAGCCTCAGTAGCTCAGAGGACCATCGTGCTAGATGAGATTCTAGCGGTCCTCATGGGAAAGCTCAAGCCGTATCTGACCTCACGGATCGAGGCATATATTGATAGTGTCACTCACCGTCTCCTCGACCCTAACGTGGAACTTCGTTGGCACTACGAAACGAACAACTGCCAGTCATTTTGTGATAATCTTATTGATCATCAACTCTTTGGATCGCTCCTTGCTCCCATAGAGTTGCCGACTTATAAGGCGAGCAAGCACTCCAGCCTTCCTTTGCCGCTTTACCTTATGAGCTTCGTTTGCCGGCCAGGAGCTTATATCAAACCAAAAGTCAAGTCCAAATTCGATGTTCCGAATGGACTGACTGAGGAGTACCTGCTGAAGTTTCGCTATGGGCGGCACGACGAGTCTGACATCATTGATACTCTCGCCGAATACTGGTATGATTGGGGCGCATTTGATGGCCCAATATATAAATACCAAAATCTGTTCCCTTGGGACTGCACGGAGGCATATAACCGGTACCCCGTCAAGTGCGGAGATTGCAATCTAGCCAAGCATGTCTGGGCATTTCCGTTTGACTCATGGTCGATCATTTCACTGCACCTTGCACGACCCCGTCAACTTTACTCCAGATCCGATAAAATGAATCCTTCGCAGAAAGGAGAGAGCGTACCAAACAACGGGAGCGGAATCATGACCGACAAGGACTGGTTCCAGAATCGTTTGACCGTTCTTGTGGCTCAGGACAACTTACTCACAGCAGCCGTCGCCATGGCTCGGTGTGAGCAGTTCCAGGAGTCAACTCACTGGCTCCACAACCAGGAAGATGAGTCTCTCGACCGTCTCAAGCTGGGAGGCATACACCGGGCGCAACCATTCAGCCATCATTTCGAAAAGGGCCGGTATCACCAGTACTTTGTCGCCGAATGGTCACATCTGACCTACCCCCTAAAGGTCGCAGCGTACGAGAAGCTGAGAGATGGCCGAGCTAGGCAGCGGGACATCAACGCCCCTGAGGAGGCTAACGACAGTGATAGTGGATGCGGTGGGTGCGGTGGCTTCGTTTGCGGTACTGTGGCGGCAGCGTGCGCCGGGGCGTGTGCTGCAGGATGCGGAGGACAATGCGGAAGCGGCTGTGTTTCGACGTGCACTTCGGGGGATGGAGGAGGTGGAGGCGGTGGATGTGGTGGATGTGGTGAGCTCTTCTTCTTCTTCGTCGATCTTCTTCGCCTTTACTAACAATCTTACAGGAGGCGGATGTGGAGGATGCGGTGGTTAAATGCCGAAGATCTTGCCTCTATAGCAATTTCAACTCTTTTCACAATCCTAACCAGCTAACAATAGCTCTCGTGTATTATCTGTAGGAAGGAACACTATGCTGTCGAGAAATTCGAGAGGTGAGTGCATGATAACAAGTTTGTCGATCCTGCGTTCGACATTGTCCATAGCATTTATCGCCAGCGCTGGAGATCTTGGCCTAGCCACTAGCCATGGCTGCCAAAAGCTTAGCCTCCATTTAGCATTGGGTCCTTCTGGCGACCAGTGAACCCGTATCTCACCTAGTAGTTCGTGATAGGGCCTTCACTCGGCGCGAGCTGGACTCCTCCAAACACAGGACAGGCTATACTCTCAATGTGGTGAATTGCTCACAGCTAAGTTTTGTCCGCGATCATAATCACTGACAGATATGTCCTTTGCGCGCAGTATCAAGCGTTGCTCCTGGCATGAGCTGTAGAGCATAACCAACTCGGTAGGACAGATTCTCCTTACAAAGGCGATGCCCTTGTCATGAAGAAATCGGTGACTTCAATTCCGTCACAGCTTGAGAACACTCTCAGCAAGGAATAAAGCTCGCGATGAGACGCAGTCAGCAATACCAGCGGCGAAAGTCGTCAATGTGTATCGCCGACATCGGTGTCGAATAACAAGATTAAGAGAGGGCACCCGACGGCGCCAGATGTCAAAACTACAGCAGCCGGAACAGACACCTGCCACCGGCGGCATTTCGATTTTGCTTAGTTACCTTCAGCCTTGCATTGTCGCCGGCTGCTTGGAAGTGTACTATCCAAGGTTATTTCCGCAGAACTGCGCATCTGTGCCTGTTTCGTCTGTCTCATCCTACGCCCTCCTTTGAACTCCGTTCTCGTGAAGGGACAAATGTCGCCAATTCCGCAACTTTGGGCCAGGATTTGGCCCCTCGATGTCAGCTTGGAAGGGTCTGGTCGGGCCTTGTGGTGTGGTAACTTGATTGATTGACACCGAGTTATTCCCACATAACTACTGTGGCCAATTCAAAAAGTCACGCCACATTTGAAACCCAGGCGCGGTGACTGATTCGTGTTTTACCGGCGGAGCGAGCCTGCGAACTGCGACGCTATTCCCAGAAGACCGGATTCAGATCTCGGCGCTGAAGAGCGCGCAGGGCTGTCCAGTAGCGACCCTTTGCTTCAAGAATTCAGCGGGCCCCCCGGCGACTAGGGGTTCTAGGGGGTCGGTAGACGGCCGGAAGCCGCGTGGGGCTCTGACTTCAGAGTGGCGTGGTCCCCCGCGGTTCTACGGGGTCGTGGGCTGGGGCTAGAACGGCCTACAGACTGGCACGCGCTGGAAACAGGGTCAGAGGGTCCAATTCGCTCATTGTGCGTCTGTCTAGGTTGCGCTGCTGCTAGAGGTGCGGTATGTGGTTACTGTGTATTGCATTGTAGGTATTGTATTGTACTACGTACGGTCGGTGTAAGTGCTTCGCTGTAAGTGTAAGGTAGCATTCAAAGCTCTGCTCTGTGTGCCCCCATTTGATTGCACCCCTTGCTCCTTTGGGCGGGTGAGAAATGAGATTGGGCTGCAAGAAAATCTCTTCTTTCCCGTCTTTTATCCGGCCTTATTATTTGTTCTTCTCAGTGTGCTGGCGGACAGAGTGAGCAATCCTGGGTCTCCTCTACAGCAACCAATGAATGCTGGACTAATACCGCAAATCCGCCGTGAATCAACGAGGAAACGAGGTGAGCGGGCTGCCTCGTTAGGCCTCCTGCGCCTCGACTAGCCTGACGGCCTCGTTCTTGCTCCTGTTGTAGACCAGCCCGTGGACCTTGAGACCCCGGCTGGCGATGGCAGCGCCAACCTGGGGAAACTTCTGCAAGGCCCGCACCTGGGCTAGGACATTGAGCTCCACAAAGTGCCCATCACGCTCGTCTACCGGTGAGCTACCTAACTGCCCCTCCGTGGCCGAACGCAGGGCGTTGAGCTTGCTGTTGTGCCGTCATGTCAGCATGTCTCTTTCTGCGTTTATTGTAGATGGATAGTTGAAGAAAGGGGGCCACCCGCCTGAGCCATGGATCGATCAAGCCAGCATCTGAAGTGGCCTTGACAAGACCGCAGCCGTAGTGCCCGCACACGACTATATGCTTGACCTGGTCACGGAAGTCAACGTCAATAGATAAGGCATGCCGCTGTATTTTGGGACTTGTTACCTGGAGTATCTCCACTGCATACTGTAGCTCGCTCAAACAAGTGAGATCGTTATCGAGGAACATATTTCCAATATCCCTCAAGACAATGGTCTCGTCTGGCAAAAGATCAAGTGTGGTGATCTCTTCATAGCTGCTGTCTGAGCAGCCGATCCAGAGCACCTGTTGCTTTGCCTCCCCGAGGCTTGGGATAAAGTCCCGACTAAGCGGGACCGTCTTGTATTGCATCGGTGAGTACATGTAAGGCATCGTGGCGCTCAAAACGGACGGCAAATGGTGGGTCGCTAGGATGTGAGTTGGCGATGTCGAAATGAGGGAGACAAGAGACGATTCGGCGCGTAGATACTTCAGATGTCTTTTCGTCGCTTCATTCTATGCCCAACTAAACGTCTTGAGCATCACGCAGGAGAGAAGCAAACAAGAAGCAGGGTTGAGTTACACGACGAGGGAGATCAGCCGGTCAGACAGCCATCGAGGCAATGGTCGCTCTTTATTCCGGCCATCGCTCTCTATGTGTCTACTGCACTATGGCTTGAATGTAGCAATGCTTGCTTGTCGGCCATCCTTCCCTCCCTCCCTCCCGCTCGAGCCTCCGAGCTGTTGCTTGTAAGTGTACCATGTGTGTACTTTTGCCTTATACAGGACCCCCTGTGGTTCTTGCTTAAGGCAAGGATTCACATGCATCATCGCCCCTAGCCCACGTCGCTATGCTAGCTCGGCCCGGCGTTGTGGGTCCTTTGCTCCGATGAACGCGGGTGTCTTCGGACAACCGCGCTGCGAACTGTGGCCCACAGTACGTTTCCTAGGAACCTAAAAGTAAGAATGGCAGCGCGGCCAGCCTAATCAATGGATTGGATGGATGGACAGATGGTGTGCTAGCGAGTGAAAGTGAAGTGTCTCTTGACTCCTTTGGACCCTGTCTCGCCCTCTGACTAAATTCTTAAATTTCTGGGGCCGCCCCGTGTCTCTCCCTCTCCCACTCTCTTTTAATGCGCCGAACGCCCAACTTTTCCTTGATTCATTCCATCATTTGCTTTCTCACCCTCGACGAGCCTCTGTCCAAAGAAACGGTCGACTCCTGTACTGCTGTCTGCCTCTCGTCGTTGGTTCAGATCGCCAGCGCCGCCTACACGTGTTAGTGACGCCTTCAAAGGTTAGTGCCGACTTACACGCAATCCTTGCAAAAGCACCTGACAGCGCCTGGTCGCCGATTTGACTAACTCTTATTGCCAGGCCCTTTGTGCTGTACGCCAGAAAGCGGCCGATTGTCGGCACATCACAACACCATTCGAGACCCTCCTGTCGCAGTTATCTGTCACCACTTTGATTCCATACAATACGATACACGGAGCGAACCGTCGCAAACATGCCTCTCATCACCCGCCTCGTCTCCCTGACCAACTTCGTCGTCGCCTCCTCGGCGCTGGGCTTCCAGGTCTTCGTCCTGTACCCGTGGCACAAGGAGCTCGACGCCGGCTTTGAGGAGCTCAAGCACGAGCACATGCGGGTCCTAGACGCCTTCAACGCGCGACTCGCCGCCGAGCACGCCCCTGCAGAGCAGCGAAAGGGGGTCATGGACATGATTACTCGCCTGGGCGCGTGGAGGTAATTCTTTGAATCCGAGTATGAGGGACGTGGATAATGTTACGAGTCGTGTGTGTGGGAAACTTGCATCATAGAGGGGTCTACCGGCGTCTGGTTCTTACTTATACCATTTACAGCACAATTTAGATTTATCTTTTACTCTGTTTGCATGCGGCAGCTTTTGCGTAGTAAAATGACTGTGATTTCAAATTGGTCAATCAACTCCAAGAGCCGACAAGACAGGTCAACTGTACTCCCCTGATAAGCCAAAGTTGGCTCTCCCGAAAGCCCGACTATTCTCAGTTCATGGTGGGACTGGATTCGTTCTGTGAATCGTGAGCCAGAAGTTTTGCGACTGGTGTCAGCCGACGGTGGAATATTTAGAACAGGTGTCTTCATTCTAGTCTAAGATGTCCAAGTCGCATCTAGCTGTGGGTATAGATCAATACCATGCTCTCAGCCTCTGAGCGCAACGATTTTGGGGTCCCTGATGTAGCAACGGCTAGCTAGTCCTGATATTCGATTTCTAGTCGACTTGATTAACTGTCGCCTACTCAAGCCCTCTCCTCCAAACTTGTGCGGTAGTGTGGACTTGGGACATTGAAATCGCAGAGCCAACAGTGTTTTGTAAACATTGTTAGGTACGATGACGACAGGCCAACCAAGATGCCATGTGAATTTGACTAGCTTCATGCGCGGTGTGAGCGAGCCAGATTCGTACGTACTCCACTTCAGTACCCCAAGATTCCAAATGTCTCTTGAAGCTTCAACGTCTCCTCAAGAAATGACATGACTGTCCATTTGAGTTTGCAATATTGTAACGTCCCGGCACCCATGGACTAGGCATGAACAACGTACAAGTTTTGTGAACGACATAATCATATATCGAATCCGTGCGTGATTGACGCCGCATCCCACTCGGCAACACCCATCATGTATACCGAGGACCAGCTAGATCAGTACTTCGAACATATCGCGTATCCGCGCAGTCGCCATGCAAAAGATCCGTTGACTCTGCTCCATGAGCTCCAAGAACACCATCTGGCAAGAGTGCCCTTCGAGAGCATTACGTTGCACTACTCTCATCATCGGCTGTTGTCTCTCGATCTACAGGACCTTTATGAGAAGATAGTACGCAATAGCAGAGGGGGATACTGCATGGAAGTCAATGCCTTCTTCGGTGCAGTGCTTCAGAGCCTTGGGTTTACGCTGATCAACGCTGGGGGAAGAGTAAAAGGAGACTCCAGATTCACGGGCTGGTGAGCACATACCTCAAAAGTTGACGTGGCCAGGTGAGCGAGCATTGAGAGAAAAGAGATCGCTAAAACGGTGCTGTAGGGGTCATATGGTCAACCTAGTGACGGTTGATGGGCAGACATTCCTGGTGGATGTGGGATTTGGATCAAATGGCCCTGTGCATCCAATACTTCTGGAATCGGGATCCATCATCAGCAATATCGCACCTCGACGGGCAAGGCTCGACTTCAAGAAGCTTGCGCAGCACACCAACCCCAGCCAGCGCGCGTGGGTCTACTCGTCACAAGAAAATCCCGATGCTGAATGGAAGGAAATGTACTCTTTTGTGGAGATTGAATTCTTCCCTGAGGATTTTATGGTCATGAACCTGTCGACTATGAGTAGACCACAGAGTTACTTCGTCAAGACGGTGCTCGCCATGCGGACCTTGCTGAATACGGAGACTGGTGAGACGGAGGGTGTGATGATACTGCATGGGGACTACATCAAGCGAAAAATTGGAGATCAATCTGAGATCTTGGAACGACTGGAGAGTGAAGAGCAACGAGTCCAAGCTCTGGCGAAGTACTTCCAGATCTTCCTCAAGGCAGAGGAGCAGAAAGCCATCAGAGGGCTTGCTACTGAGCTGAAGAGCACACCAGGTCCATGATAACATATGAAGAGTAGAGTAGAGTGAATAGGAGATCTCGAGTACAACAAACCTGAGTTCACCAGCATTCCTGACAATAAAGTAAATAAGTCATGCCTTTGTTCCTGTGTTTCTTGTCTATGTACCATGAGATGATATAAGTTGAGCCACGTGAATACCGCCACATGCTCAACCCCTCCCCCGCATCATCTTCTCAGGGTCTCTTGGCTAGGTAATGTTAGTGAAGGTCCGCGAATGTGTGGCGCACAACGAGTTTGTTATCTTATCTGTGTGAAAATACAGCGACGCGACTGGGTCAACAACACTGGAAATTGGGTCCGAATTTTTTTCCTACTGCGAGCCCCACCACGATTTTCTTTTTTCGCATTTCCTCACCACTTGCTTCATTTCTCCTTGCCCTCCCCTTCTCTTCAAGTCAGCCACTGCCTCTTCACAGGTTCAAGATGGACCGTCAAAAGCTGGCTGCGCTGCTCCAGGAGAGCCAGATCCGTAAGTAGATCCTCTGCAACTCACACCAGACTTCAGTGCTCGTTCTCTGTATCCCGGGGCGTTTCCCACAGCAGCAGCTTGCCGTTGGCCCCTCCGCCTCTTAATTTCGCTTGCCCTCAACAACCTGGCTGACTGACATGGCACTGCAGCGGATACCCAACGGATCAAGGCCATCACAGCCGAGTTACAAAAGAACTATTACTCCCACCCAGAGTCTCTGCTTCTTCTCATCGAAATCCTCTGTACTCACGAGGATGTCGGCGTGCGCCAACAAGCCGCCGTCCAGGCGGCCCGACTGGTGCCTAAGCACTGGAAGTCCGTCCCTGCCCAGCAAAAGGATGGCGTCCGGCGGCATCTCGTCGAGGCCACGATGAAGGAGCAGAATCCCAAGTGCAGGCATGCCGAGTCTCGAGTCATTGCAAACATTGCCAACCTCGACTTCGACGATGGCGAGTGGCCCGACCTCTTGCCCGCCCTCTTCACCCTCGCCAGCAACAACGATGTCGCCCAGCGCGAGGTCGGCTCCTACATCATTTTCAGCGTGCTCGAGGAGAACCCAACCCACTTCAGCGACCACCTGCACAAACTGCTCGAGCTCTTCAGCCACACAATCCAGGATCCCCAGAGCCGCGACGTCAGAGTGAACACAATGATGTCTATTGCTGCCATGCTCATGCTGATTGAGCCTGAGGAGGATGAGAAGTCGGTTGCTGCTCTGCAGGAGCTTATTCCTTCCATGGTCAATGTGCTCAAGGATGCCGTTGACAACGGTGACGACGAGAGAACTAAGCAGTCGTTCGAGGTTTTCCAGCAATTCCTCGCATATGAATCCGCGCTCCTCGCGAAACATCTGCGCGACCTCGTGCAATTCATGCTGGACTTGGCCGCCAACAAGAACGCCGACGACGAAGTTCGATCACAAGCCCTTGCTTTCCTCGCTCAGACTGTTCGATACCGCAGGATGAAGATCCAAGCCATGCGAGACATGGGCGAACAGCTGACTCTCAAGAGCATGGAGATTCTGACCGAGATTGATGATGACGAGGACGAGGACGAGATCACACCCGCTCGCTCTGCTCTCACTCTTCTCGACCAGTTGGCCAATGACCTCCCTCCTCGTCAGGTCCTTGTACCGCTTCTTAATGCTTTCCCGAAGTTCGCTTCTTCGCCGGACCCGGGCCACCGAAAATCCGGTATCCTGGCCCTAGGGAACTGCGCCGAGGGTGCTCCGGACTTCGTCTCCACTCAGTTGAAGTCAATCATGCCTATTGTAGTACACCTACTTAATGATTCGGATACTGGCGTTCGTCATACTGCGCTTGTCGGCCTGACAAGAATTGCCGATGAGATGGCTGACGAGCTGGGAGACTGGAGAGATGATCTGATTGAGGGACTTTTGAAGAACCTGCAAGCCGCTATGGCAGATACTCCAGACCCCAAGGCGGCCAAGAAGAACGTCGAGATCGTCCGCTCTGCATGCGCAGCCCTTGACGCAATGTCTGACGGCATTGATGCCGAAGTTATGAAAAAGTACGGCCCGCAGTTGATTGAGCCTATCGGGAGCCTGTTGGCTCACCCCGACTTCCTCGTCAAGGCTGCGGCCTCGGGAGCCCTTGGCGCGATTGCTGGCTCCATGGGTACGGACTTCAAGCCATATTTCGGCAACACCATGACTGCCCTTGGAGAGTACATCACCATCAAGGATAGCGAAGATGAGTTGTCCTTGCGTAGCGGTGTGTGCGATGCAGTGGGCCGCATCGCCTCGGCAGTTGGTCCTGAAATGTTCCAGCCCTACGTCTTGGATCTCATGAAGGCTACAGAGGAAGCTCTGAACCTTGGCAATCCGCGTCTAAGGGAAACCAGCTTCATCCTGTGGAGTTCGCTAGCAAAGGTGTACGGCGTTGAATTCAAGCCTTTCTTGGCCGGCGTCTTCAAGGGCCTTTTTGACAGCCTAGAGCTCGAAGAAGAAGAGGTCGTTCTGGAGTTGACAGAGGAAGAGCAGGCTATAGTTGGAGGCACCGAAGAGGTCATTGCTGGTGGCAAGAAGGTCAAGCTTCGCAAGCCAGAGGATGATGACGGTGTTATGGATGCTGATGAGGATGGTGATGATGAGGACTGGGAAGATTTTGGCATCTCCCCGGAGGCGATGGAGAAGGAGGTTGCCATCGAGGTGCTCGGAGATGTTATCACACATGCCTGCGGCCCCGAAGAGATCAAGCAGTACCTCGAGAAGGCTATTGAGACAGTGACTCCACTTGTCGAGCATGGCTACGAGGGCTGCCGCAAGGCGGCGATTAGCACACTTTGGCGAGCTTATGCCAGAGTCTGGCTCTTGATGGAAGAGGAGACTGGTGTGAACTGGGAGGCAGGCTTCCCTCCGAAGCAAGCTCCCACGCCTACTCTTCTTAAGCTTGGCGAAATCGTTTCGAAGGCCACCATGCAGTTGTGGACTGATGAGAGCGACCGGTACGTATATTCTCCTATTTCGTTATCTCTTTTTCTTGGTCAACATGATGAATACCTTACGTTATACCCAGCTCACTCAGACGCAATATTTGCGGGTGCTGAGAAAGCGTACTATCTACTCCTGAACACCGTCATTCTCTTCTTCAAATCTAAAGCATACACAGTGGCATGTCCTTGTGCTAATGAGACTTAGCAATGTCGTCACCGAGATCAACCGCAATGTTGCTGCAACTCTGAAGGCCACTGGCCCTGCTATCCTAGCGCAAGAGAACATGCTACCACAGACAGTCACCGTTCTTGGCACCATTATTACCCGCTCTCATCCTTGCCAGCAGGACCTTGGCGACGAAGAAGATGAGCAAGACGTGGAAGGAACGTCAGAATATGATTGGCTCATCATCGACACTGCTCTCGATGTTGTGATCGGTTTGGCCATCTCCCTGAGCGTGTCATTCGGGGAGTTATGGAAGGTCTTTGAGAAACCCCTCATGAAGTTCGCTTCCTCAAATGACCGCACAGAGCGCTCCACCGCAGTGGGCGTCATTGCCGAGTGCTCAGCTCATATGGGTGAGGCTGTTTCGCCTTACACGGCGACGCTACTTAAGCTTCTACTGCATCGCCTCAGCGACGAAGATCCCGAGACGAAGAGCAACGCTGCCTACGCAGTCGGCGAGCTGATCTACAACTCCACGGACAGCCAGGCCTATCTGCCGAGCTTCAATACCATTCTCTCAAAGTTGGAGCCAATGCTTCAGATGGATCACTCGCGTATCAAGGACAATGCCGCCGGATGTGTCACTCGCATGATCATCTCCAATCCCGAGCGAGTTCCCATCAGCGAAGTTCTGCCTGCTCTCGTAGATCTTCTGCCATTGACGGAAGATTATGAGGAAAACTCGCCTGTGTACGAGTGCATTTTCAAGCTCTGTAAGTCATGATATTACTTGTTAACAGTTTCCGACAGTTGCTAATTCCGTATAGACCAGCAAAACGAGCCTACCGTCCAGCAGCTTACGCCTAAGCTTATCCCTGTTTTTGCAAAGGTTCTTTCACCTCCTCAGGAACAACTCGAGGATGACACGAGGGAACAGATCAAGCAGATCATCCAACTGCTTTACACGGCTTCCCCTGCCCTCTTCCAAGGACACGAGGAAGTGCTGAAGCTTGCTGAGACAGCATAGAAGGCAAAAACATCGTAACATATTGAAGATCCTGCTGGATATTGGAAGGCTTGTCCAGCAATGAGCGCTGCATACTGCGATATGATACCACGAATGGCTAGAACACCAGACGACATAATGATTTAGTGATGGTTGCATCACTTACGATAGACTTTGAAATGAAGATGTCATCTTCTCTTTCTTTATCAATGATCACAAGAGACTAAACTCTTGGTGATAAGTAGTTTATGTCCTTGACACAACTAGTGCTTATGTGACCAGACCTTGAGTTCAAGCACCTTGTCCGTCAACTTATGTAATACAACACAAATAAGCAAAGACTCAATAGCTTTGAACATTTCTGGTATCATATTACCCATATACCTTGTGCTCGTTAATTTCAAATGTGTAATATTACAGTTGTCCTTTAGGTTGCCGCCGTTCTGCTAAATTTCTTTCACCTCCAACGATCATGTTCACATGCTGACTCAGTGCTACGAGCTCTCCGTTTTCGTCCATAATTATAACCTCCAGATCAAGTCTCCCGTTCTTAATCTGCTTAGCAGCTACTCTCATCCGCAGCCACTCCACACCCGTCGGAGGCAAGGCCTTCTTGGCCTCTAGATTTAAAGCCACAGTAGGATACCAGAATATGTCGTTAAACGCGAAGGGCGCCTGCGGTTCCGTTCCATCGGCGGATTTGGGAGGGCGGTAAGCTTCGACTACATATGGCCAGCAGTCTGCCACATAACCCAGAGACGCGTTCGTGAAGCCCTCCCCACACGCGAGGCGGATGCACAGGTCGACGATGCTCTTCTTCACTTGTCCGCGACGTGGAGCAAAATACTGGAAGTTCTTGAGAGAGCGAATGGAAGCAAATCCACCAGACGGCAACTTCAGGGGCTCCCAGTTCTCGTCTTGACCTTCGCTTAGTGCTTTCAGATCGACCGACGGAGGCGGCGATTCAATGTTGAAGCCGGTCGGTAATGAAACTCCGCGCTCTTTCGAGAGGTCTGTGTTTGAGATGTATGCTACAACCTCCTTCCGTGACGAGCCCTGAGTTATCCACGGTGCTTGTGGAAGAAGACCCTGTTGGTACAGGGTGATATGCAAGACCGATAGCTGCCGGCCGATTTTGACATCTTCAACTACCAGGACAGCAGGGCCGGTCTCGGTACGGCTCAAATATTCGAAGTGAGCTGTGAGTGTGTCGGTCTGCCCCCTTTTCTTCAGATGTTTCTCGGCGGCTTGCAAAAAGCATGATGCAACATATCCTCCGTTAGGAACTAAAATTACTCAATACAGATAACTAGAGATTATAAGTGCAGAATGTACATACCTGTACCAATGCAAAACGACTTATAGAATGTCGTCGCATAGTTGTTTGAGTCTAGCGCCTCAACACGCGTAGCTTCAGATAATGGAATAATAGCATCCGTGCCTGTCTTTGAGGAATTGGACGTCATCTTGATAACCAACTTTGTTCTGGAACCTCATCCCCAGAACAGTAGCAAGAGAAGAGGCTCTCCGCAGTGAGAACCTTATTCCCATCTACCCATCATGATGCTATCCCGCCCGCCCTGAGACATCATAGTCTGGACCAAGCGGCGCAGGCTCCAACCGACAAGCCCCACCCGCCAGAGCGCCAACCTCGGCATTTTAGCTAGTGGCTTGGAACAACGTCCCATCAATGTGGGAGCTACACTCTTTGTAGAGCCCTTGTTAGCCCTGTATTTTTCTGTAGCTTGGTCTCTAGCTTTGGGGGAGCCACTCCGAGACGTTGCTCTGTATGTCGTCGATACCACCACAGTGTACATCTTGAGATGGCAGGGAATCTTCGTCGAGCATGCAGCCTCGCGGAACTCCCATTGTTATACCAGAACATAGAACTCTCCCTACTTTACACGGTATGCAGAAGCAGTTGAAGAGAATAAACATGTAATTTTGTCCTATTTGATTCGCAGGGATTGTGAGCTTGCGATACCTTACCGAGCTCCCAGCATCTGATGTATTGGACATCGAGATTGTGAGCCTCAGAATAGAGCATTGACACTCTGGAGAACCCATACAGTTGAGCTCACTCACACTTCGATTGACCGATGAGACGGAGTTGCTGCCGGGTCTCACAGGCGCCGGAAGGGGATTAGTGATCATTCGGACCGGGCGGAACGGGTCTCCTCCCCACATAACAGACGCCGAGATTGTTGGGAATTTCACGTGTCAGGCAGGCAGGATCCAGCTTTGATGTTGGGATTTACTTGTCCCTTTTCTAGAACGCGTATCAAGCCAAATTGAGTATGGCATTAGGAACATAAGACTTGAAAAGGGACACGTACTGTTGCGCAGGAGCCCCTTGGAGTGCCAAATCTGTGGCTATTGGCTGCTGCGAAGCTGTCAGTCTGCCGGCCTCGTGGTGCAAGGGGTTCCGGACCAGTGAAACGTCAGCTTCTGAATGCAGTCCTGGTATGACATTACGCATGTTGGCGGCGGTGCCTTAAGGATTCGCCGTAGATGCAGTGGATCTTATCGAAAAAAGCATTGCACCCGGCGATTTGGGGCGGTTTGGCATTTCGTCAAATTTTCCCAAAGGGGAAAAGCTGCCGAAGGGCCAGGCTCAACATTTGACCCTCCCACGGCCTCACGGTATACCGGGTCGCCGTCCGTCGTCAGCACCGTCAAGAAGACTTATAAGCAAATTCAACGCCATCCACTTATGCTGAAATTCGTAGAAGGTAGGCTTGTGTTGGAGGAGCCAGATTGACGGGCGACGAGGCTTCCTAGGACATCATGTCTGATTCGGACAAGACAACAACAACAACGCCGGCTGACGAGCCGTTAAAAGATTTCAGGAAGCTCAACGACCAGGTCTTCGTCCGTCCTGGCAAGCCACCACACGGCAGCGATCCCAGTGCAATTCTGATATATGCTTGGGGTGACAGTCGACCCAAACATGTCGCAAAATTTGTCGACGGGTATCTCAAATTATATCCATCTTCCAAGATTGTCGTCATCATGGCACCAATCTTACAGGCACTCTACGAAGGCTTAGAAAAAAGATCTCGACGAATGATTCCGGTTGTCGAGGCCGTCTTTGGTGCTCTGGGAGAGGCAAGCGGCTTGAAATCAAACATACTCGTGCACGTCATGTCGAACACGGGAGGCGTCAACTTCGCCGCGACCTTGCACGCTTATAACTGCATGTCACCCCCTTTCGAGACGAGACAACTACCGGCCACATTCATAGTCTACGACTCTACGCCTGGTAGCAGTCATTTCTTCCGCAATGTAGCGCCGTGGTCCCGCGCGATGGCGATAGGCACGGCAAATTTCTTCCCCTGGCCATTCATCGTCACACAAGGCATAGCTTCCATATTTCTCACTGCTATTCATGCGGTCGCGTGGGTGACTGGCACTCCAACGGCGGCCGAGTTCAGCGTCGGGGCTGCAAACGATGCGGAGCTAGCCACCAAGGCCGCGCCTCGTATATACCTATACTCGAAATCGGACGACATAATATCAGCGGCAGACATAGAAGAACACGCGGCTGATGCTCGGGCGAAGGGTTACGATGTCACAATGGAGCTGTTTGAGGGAACTCAGCATGTGGGACATATGAGAGCTTATCCTGAAAGATACTGGGGTGCTATCAGCAAAGGATGGGACGCAACTCAGAGAACGAATTAATTGTGCTGGCTTCTTCGTGACAGGTATCCAGCTTTCGTTTTTCCGAGTTTGCCTTCACAACAATTGTTTCTGGAGGAAGCTGCTTCGTTCGTGGGTATTCTAGACACATTGTCTTTTTCGGCGTTACCCGTTGCTCTTTGCATCAGCCTCTACACCTAACCTAGAATTGGCTGATGGAAACACTCTAGATAGAATCAAGGAACCAAATTCTCGCCATGAACACCTTGGACCAAAACGCAATCGACTCGTATCTATAGCGTGTTTGAGTTAGTATATGATACCTCGCAGTGACGCGATCTGGAACCCTTACTCTTACTGACCCCATCGACAATCGCCCTTACACCATAGATTCAGGCGATGCAGGCCTCCCCTCTGTCATCTCAGCATGATCTGATTCACCAGTCTGTGGTTTCGTTAATTTGTAGGCAGGAGGAACATTAGTGTTATTGTGTCGTTCAGGAGCTAACTGGCGTGCCACGTCTAAAGCATCGGATTTCGTGAGAGATCGGGTGTTAATGTCACCCCAAATGAAGTCTTGAACGAGACGGTCGACAACGTTCAGCATCAAGTTGGAGAGATTGGCAGTCATCGTCGTTTCAAGTTCTAATTATCGGTACCATGGTGAAGTCCGGTGGGAGGTAAGATAATTAGAAGGATTGAGCTCATAGATGATGTTCAAGTCAGCTTACCTGTGAGTTGGAGGTTCGGGTCTCGGCAAAATCCTTCGTGCCAACTCAACACCGCAACACCCGTCTTGCTGCCTATAGGCATATGCCGAATTGGGTAGCAGGAATCCACAACTTGTGCGGGCCGGATTTGATGCCATTATATCACAATACTATATTATAAAATAGCTATTTCTACTGGACAAGAGTTTAGTCAGAGTCCACAACATTATTTTGATATTGTGATCTGAAATTTATTTTCCACTTGCTCCACTAGTACATGTTACTCCCAGATTGCTTGGTGTATTCGCGCACAAATACTGTGCACTGCCACTAGGTGGTTTTACTGTCATACTGCTGAGTGTGACTCCGCATGTTCCCGCTGCCGGGCAGTTGATATTCGCAACTGTAGGTGAATATTTCGAGCTCGTCGTCCCCGAGAAGCCTTTGACCACAACACCCGTTAGCTGAGCAGTACTAGGAGTAGACGAGCAGTAGGAAGTGTCTTCGCCGTAGCAACTTTGGATCTGGAAAGCATAATCGCTGTTCTGAACCACAAAGTTCTGGAAAGTCACATTCTGGACAACAGCGGTACCGTGATCTGGTCCATCGGGATACAATTTAATCCCTGCTGCCTTGGTCGAGTCAATCATAGTGGCACCTGATACCCAT